TCATCCGTATCATTTGGCTAATTCTCAAGATGAAGACGAGATAGTTGAATATCAATGAGAACGAAGAGACAATCCCAATGGCTATAAAGTGATGCTGGAAATTCCTTAGCGACAAAATCATGAGAGCTTTGTTAGATCCTTTCCTTATACCTATACTGCACCTACTGTGAAGGGGCTTCCTTCTAGAACCAGCGCATGATTCACTGAGATTACATTTTTGTCAGATAAAATTTTGTCTTTATTTATGTAGTCAACTATGACCGCAGGAAAACTGGACGGTAATTTTTTTTTTTAAACTGATGATATTTTGTACTGGTATATGGCATCTTATTTTCTTATGTTCTCGATCTCTGTTGCTTGCCATGCTAGTCTTCGTGGACGAAATCTGTCATGAAGCCTAAGTTAAATTCTGAGGACTATATTATATGAATATGTCATTGTTTCAGCAGTGACGTACCCTACGGGAATCGCGTGTTTAATTTTTTTGTGCATGAGAGGGTTTAACACGGGTACACCGGTTCCTCTTGACTAATGATTTTCAAATAATCTCTCTGCAGTTGATTGTATTGTTTAAAAGCATGTCTTGCTGCATGCACGTTTTCTTGATACATGATGGTTCCGGTAAAATATTTTGATGCGTTTCAAAATTCTTATATAACCCTCTTCGATCCGCTGAACAAAATTGTTATAGATTCTTTTCGCAAAACTAGAAAATTCAGGTTGTTAAAAGACCATAAATAAAATGGGACAGCCAACATTGAAACATTGCTAGGATGAAATGGAGTTTCATTCCAAATTTTTTATGTACCAAGCTAAGAGATTCGCGAATACTTCTTTTGGATTTGAAAATACCTTGCATCAGTTAGTCCATATGGTGGAGAAAAATGGAAAATATTCTGTCCTAAATAATAAATTCCGCTTGAAAGCCCAGATTCTTCTTGAAAGGCCAGATATAGAAGACGATTATAATAAGCGTTTTGAAAAACATCAAAATATTTTGCCGGAACCCTGGTATGTCACAAAAAGCCAAGCATGAAGAAAGCCATGCTTTAATCAATACCAGGATGTATTTCGCAACCAAAGGGTCGGGTCTTTCATGCGGAATTTATTATTTTTTATAGGACAGAATAATTTCCAACTTTTTTACGAAATGGAGTAACTGTTGTAAGGTGTTTTCCAATTTAAAAAAGGTATTCGCGATTTGATTAGATTAGGAACATAAAAAGTTTGGACTGAAACTCCATTTCATCCTGGCAATAATGGTTGATCGCTGTCCAATTTCATTTATAATAATTGTATCAACCTGAATTTTCTGGTGTTGCGAAAAGAATCTTTAACTATTTTTTTCAGCATATAAAAGACGATTATACTAAGCGTTTTGAAACACATCAAAATATTTTACCGGAACCTTGATATATCATGAAAAGCCAAGCATAAAGAAAGCCATGCTTTAATCAATGCCACGATGTATTTTACGGCTTCCGAAGAAAAAAGAGTCGGGCCTTTCATGTGAATTTTTTTTTTATGACAGAATATTTTCCATTTTTACGATATGGGCTAAATTGTTGTAAGGTATTTTCAAATCCGAAAAAGGATTCGCGAATCTCTTAGATTGGGAACATAAAAAGTTTGGACTGAAACTCCATTTCATCCTGGCAATAATTGTTGATCGCTGTCCAATTTCATTTATGGTGTTGTATCATCCTGAATTTTCTGGGGTTGCGAAAAGAATCTTTCATTATTTTTTTCAGCATATAGAAGACGATTATAAGCGTTTTGAAACACATCAAAATATTTTACCGGAACCCTTATTTGTCACGAAAAGCCAAGCATGAACCAAGCCATGCTTTAGCAATGCCAGAATGCGTTTTGCGACTACGGAAGACCAAAGGGTCGGGCCTTTCATGCGGAATTTACTATTTTTTAGGACAGAATATTTTCCATTTTTTTTACGATATGGACTAAATGTTGCAAGGTAGTTTAAATCCAAAAAGAGTACTCGCACAGCTGTTAGATTGGGACATAAAAAGTTTGGACTGAAACTCCATTTCATCCAGCATGGCAATATTGGTTGATAGCTGTCCAATTTCATTTATGTTGTTGTATCATCCTGAATTTTCTGCGAGAAGAATCTTGAACTATTTTTTGCAGCATATAGAAGACGATTATAAGCGTTTTGAAACACATCAAAACATTCTACCGGAGCCCTTTGAGTTAAAAATTGTAAGTTTTGGGGAAGATGCCAACATTTTTGCAGAACAAGCAATTTGAGCTTCTTTGGAACGATGCAGACGTTATTCATCAGGGGTTATGGAGCTCTTCCGACATGAATTTTGATTTATTTTCGATTTATGAGCTCTTTCGACGGAACCAGACGTTATTGATTAGGGATTAGGAGCTCTTCCGACGGGAATTTTGGAGTATTTTAAATTGTGAGTTTAAGGCAATATGCAAACATTTTTGCAGAAAAAGCAATTTGCGGTAATAATTCCATGTTCCAGTATACACCAATATACATACGACCCCCTTTTTTAAACATCTATTGTATCATAATATATCATTTAGCATCATACTATATCACACCGCATCATATAGCATCATATAGCATCATATTGTATCGTACTATATCATACTGTATCATATTGCGTCATACTATATCATACCGTATCATACTGTATCATATTTGCATCATATAGCATCATACTATATACCGTACATACTTTATCATACGGTATCATACTGTATCATATGGCATCATACTATATCATACCGTATCATATTGCATCATACTATATCATACTGTATCATATTGCATCATACCGTATCATACTATATCATACTGTATCATACCGTATCATACTGTATCATATTGCATCATACTATATCATACCGTATCATATCATATCATACCGTATCATATTGTATCATATAGCATTATATAGATATAGTATCATACTGTATCATACCGTATCATACTCTATCATATTGCATCATATAGTATCGTAATTTATTATATGGTACGCGGTCTCGTGACTGAAATGGCGTGCGCTGATTGGTTCTTTGCAGGTCTGGAATCCCGCAGTATTAGACCGTTGCCGTAGTAAAGGTCCAACTCTCATATTTTTTAACAAAAACAAGCTTGCACTTTTAATTATTTTTGACACGAAAAATGTCGACGGAGAATGGACGAAGAAGAGCATTATTTGGTACATGTGAATATTATATTTATTCATCTTTGATTTTTTGTGGGGAAATCGTCCAATTATAAATTTGAAACCACTAAACCAGTTTGAAGTTTCTCATTTACGAGCATTTCAAAATGGAGGGCATTCGCATGCTGAGAGATCTTTGGAAACGGGACGACTGTCTCACAAAGACCGATCTCAAGGATGCGTACCTCATGGTGCCAATATTAAGGGACCATCAGAAGTATCTGAGGTTTCTCTGGAAAGGGACTCCACAAATTTAACTCTGCAACTACCAAGGGAGAAACTTCAAAAAATTCGGAAGAAATGTCAAAGCATACCAGATGCAGTAGATATCTCAGTCCGAGAGTTGTCAAAATTCCTGGGCTTCCTAACCTCCTCTATTCAGGCCGTATTCCCAGCCCCTCTCCACTACAGACACCTTCAAAGGCTGAAAAATGTAACTCTGAGCACAAATCAATCTTACGAGGCTCCAGTGACATTGGATACAGTAGCCAGGGACGAGGTGATGTGGTGGAGAGATCATCTCCAAGTCTGGAATGGCAGAGCGTTGTTCCAACACACGATAGACTTATTAAGAGGAGATATTTTTCTATGTCGCGTAATATAATAATGCTTCAAGACCTCAGCTATATCTTCATGCAACAGCACTAAAATTTTCAGCATTAAAAATGTTTTGCAAACCTGAAAAGCATCCACAAGGTATGTTTACTGTGTATAATCTCAAAATATTGTGAAAATGAAAAGATTTCTCGGGATACGCCGAGAAGAAAATGACACTTGAATCGAAGCTTCTTTTGTATTCATTTTATTCATTTCAGTTATAATGGAGTTGACATTATAACATTGTTGATAGCCGCATTATATTTTGTAATAACTCTGTTGTTTGGTGTTTTGCATTCACCAAATACAGTTCAAAACTTAATTCACAACACAATCTAAAGAATAAAGGTAAAAAAAAAATTAATTTTGAGCGGTACGCCGAAAAGATTTTAGGTTTTGAGCGTTTTCCCGCCAAAATACGCGACATAATAAAAAATCACCTTTTAATCGACACAGATGCTTCTCGCGAGGGTTGGGGGGCATGCTGCGAGGGAGTCAGCACAGGGGGCCCATGGTGCTGAGAAGAGAAAGGATACATATAAATTGCCTCGAACTGCTTGTCGGATTCTTCGCACTCAACACATTCACGAAGACCAAGGCTTGTGTTCATGTACGACTTATGATGGACAATGCAGCAGCAGTGGCATACATACATAAACAAGATGGGGGGCACACGCTCTCAGGTGTTAGCCAACCTAGCTATTGTCTTATGGGAGTGGTGTCTAGAGAACCAGTTGGTTGTTTCAGCTCAATATCTCCCAGGAAGTTTGAATGTACGAGCAGACAGGGAATCAAGAGTTCTGATCGACTCCAGCGATTGGAAACTCAATCCTTCTCTGTTCCAAATAATCTTAGGAATATGGGGTCCGTTAGAGATAGACCTATTTGCGTCTCGTCTCACGCACCAACTTCCGCAATTTGTCATCTGGAAACCAGATCCCCAGGCCATAAAAATAGATGCCTTTTCAATGAACTGGAAAACTCTCCATGCTAAATGATATGATAGGATGCAATAGATGTTTAAAAAAGGGTGTCGTATGTATATTGGTGTATACTGAAGATGGAATTATTACCCATTTTTCCTTCAACTGTTCCTCTGGCTTGAATTTTAAATGTGTATAATTCAACTCGAATTTAAGACCCTTCGAACCTCTACATGACGTATTGTCATGAAATTCCCTCGAATTTTGCGGGCTCAAAATCTTGGCACGTGCACAACAAAGTATGAAACGCAAAATGGAGCCAGTTGAAACAAAATTTCCGCGCTTAGACGTAAGTAATTTGAAAATAATTTCATATATGATGCGAAAGTTATCAACATTTTTTCTGTTTGTTAATGTTCTATGACAGGAGGCAAAATCTGAGGCTAAAGTTAATGGGGAATGTGAAAATTTGACTGATAAAGATGAAAGTTTGGCACCTGATCAAATGACAAGTGCTGATTATTACTTTGATTCATACGCTCATTTTGGTAAAGAAATTTCATATCTTATATAGTAAATTCCTTTTTGGTTTTATTAATAGTATCCAGTACTCTATTAAGTTGTAAGTTTACCCTCTTATTCATGCAAAATTTATCAAGAACAGGTATTTTATATACTTATGGTATGTTTTTATATATCATTGGGAAAGATGGCTTCTTAATGTAATCATGATCAATAGTGCCGTTGCCACAACTTCTTAAACTTTTCTCACTCTGAAAAGCATATTTACTATCAGCATAGTTTGCTTATCAATCTTATTTATATGAAAATATTTTTGACTGCAGTACGGTGATTCTCTGATCACACATGTGACATTGCTGTTTCTTCAGGCTTCATGTATTACTTGTAACAAAAAAGAATAGCAGTGTCACATTTGTGACCAGAGAATCACCTGGTACATATATAATTAGTATTTTATAACACGTTTCTGAAGTTAGTAACTAAATCAAATGAAATGTGCACAAATATGATGCGAAGTCCTGTGAAAGGTGCAACCCCAAAGCCGCAAAATAAACCATAAATACATAAATATATAATATACTGTATCTAAATTAGAACTACATATCATGAATACCACCACTTGAATGCTTGCTTATTAAACACATAATATGTTGATAGAACAATGCTATTGCTACTGTGCATCAATTCTTTTCATAATGAAATGGTGACCTGCTGATTTACAAAATTCTTAATTTTCTGGATACAAACATTGGTACAATTATAGAATACCCTGCCAATAGTGCATTATTTTAAAGATCAATTTTAGAGTATAAAAATGCCCCGTTTTTTAAAAATACTGTTTATTCTTGTTCTCTGGAAGTCCAATTCATGCATTAAGGTCCAATAAGACTATGTGGCATTCACTGTTAAGAGTTGGGTTGGCAGGGTATTCTATAATTGCTCCCAAACATTTAATGCACACCATTGCTTGCTTATATTCTGTTGGCTTACCAGCTTGCATCAGCATATGTGATGATAGAAAGCAATTAAAACTAATGTCAAATGTTTTCTTTTTTATATTTGCTGAATAATGAAGGAATACATGAGGTAAGTAAACAAGTTAACCTTAAGAGCGATCTAAACCTTTTCTTACTATATATAACTAAAAATTGAGTAAGCATGCATTGAGAAAAAGGTTCTTCAAAAGATTTGTATGATTTGAACTTGTAGCCCTGCACTTTTACTTATTAATTTGGTTTACAATATATAATTTATTGGTTCCTTACCTTACAAATTTCAGCTTATAATAAAATGGTCATTTTGTGGTATTTGGCAACTAATGTGGTGATATAACTTTGCAGGAAATGTTGAAGGATGAAGTGCGGACACTTACATACAGAAATGCAATGTATCACAATAAACATCTCTTCCGAGGCAAAGTTGTTCTTGATGTTGGTTGTGGGACAGGAATATTATCCATGTTTGCTGTCAAAGCTGGTGCAAAACATGTTTACGGGGTAATGCACTGTCACATTTGCACATAACTGTCACATTTCTATGTTATTTTGTAGTCTAAACAGCACCTTAGCATCTCATTTTAGTAGTGTTTTTTTGAACAAACAGCTGGTGGTTTTCTGGGTAGCAACCAGCCTACTCCTCCTCAATCTTATTTTTGCTCGTTAACAAAATTTTAGTTTTCTTTATAATTTATTAACATTGCCATTCAGGGTTGTCTCACTTGTCTGTTTTGAAAATTTTTACTTGAGAATGTTTGGTGTCTTAAAACAAGCAGGGGCCTTGTTGGAAATCTCTAATTTGTACATATAACAGCTTTTATAAACTTTTCAATAGTCGTGTGACTGGTAGTCTTGTTTTATAGTATTTTAGGTGAGGTTGCTTCAACATCTGTTTCTTAGCCTGATTATTGATATTTTTGCAGGTTGATTTTTCATCAATTATTGAACATGCTCAAACCATAATTGAGTCAAACCACATGAAGAATTGTACGTACTTGGTATAGTATCATTGTACTATTTTTTATTTTGTCATGAAGATGGTAATAAACCACCTCAGCTAGAAAGAGTATATTAATTAAGAATTAGCCTAACAAGCAAACTTAAAGTATACCTAAAACAACAAAATTTAGTAATTTTTTGTACATTTTTATGTGGGGTCATGTAAAATCCAGAAACAATTTCAAAGGCTAAGTTTATATTTCGATTTTTTGAAACCACCGACAAAAAAAATAAGAGAAAATTTCGCTAATTTTTGTATATATTTGCTAAATTGTACATTTACAATCAAATAATGCTATTTTTATTTTACACAATAATTTTATTTCATGCCATTTATTATAGCCATAACACTTATAAGAGGAAAAATTGAGGAGGTGGCGCTGCCAGTGGAGAAAGTTGATATAATTATAAGTGAATGGATGGGATATTGTCTATTTTACGAATCCATGTTGAATAGCGTACTCTTTGCTCGAGATAAATGGCTGGTAAGTGAATAAATATTTTGTAAAAGTTTTTATAACATTAAAATATGTACTTGTTTTGATGTGAACTAGATTGTGAATTAGTTTCTAATGTTCAAATAAGAGCTCTTTTACATCAGATTAGTCGTAACTTATTACTCATTTACAACTATCAAAGAAGGAAAATTGCAGCAAAAATTGCAAGTGTATCTAAGCAGGCCTTAGGACACGTGGCTGCCACTAATAAGGCATGTCTAATTTTTTTTTCTCTTTGAGATTTTCTTCTTTTGATGGATGTGAAAGAGTAGTTTCAATGTTCTGCTGCATAAGACTTTTTTGAACACCTGTAACTGATTCTCTCGTTTATTTAAGTGTGAACGTCAGCCTTTCAAGATTTTCTTATATCTTGCTCAGCTTCATCAACTAGATCTTAAATATTTTTATACGAAACGTAAAACCTCTACAGTTGCCTTTTTTGCATGAGGTTGATTTCTAACTCTGTGGAAAACGCTATCTAGTGTACATATGCTGTCTCGTAATTATAAGATGTATTTCAGGGCGAAGATGGAATAATGTTTCCTGATAAAGCAAGTTTGTATATCTGTGGCATTGAAGACAGACAGTATAAGGAAGAAAAGATTTATTGTAAGTTCATTGTCAAGATTATTCTGATTGCCAAAGAAATGTTTGATGAATTTAATACATGCAAAAAATTTAATGTAAAGGCTTGTTTACACGTTCACAGTTAATCTGGTTTAACTTGATCTTTGATTTTTCGAGTCAGTGTAAATTAAGCTGGATTACTTTGCACTACCTGTACGAGGTGGATTAAATTACGCGGATTAATTTTAAATTTCTTAAAGTGGTCATGTAAACGTAGCTATGGTGCCAGTTAGACGAGTTCGATTTAAACCGGTTTAAGTTCGTACTGTGTAAACGGGGCTTAACACATCGGTATATAATAATATGCCCTCCCCAAGTAAATCTATCCCTGGCAGCATTGAGTACGAGGTTTATCTTGTACGCAAAGGCCAATCGTTACTGAAAACGTGCGGTAGATTTCAATATTTTCGAATATTTTTCTTGTCTTTAATCATATTTGATCTCAAACATATTGTCACATGAAGATGGTCTATTTTAAAGCCCAAAGTTAAGCCTTTCACATTGCAGTGATTTAGTTGAACCTTTTTCCAGGGTGGGACAACGTGTATGGATTTGACATGAGTTGTATCAGAAAGGTTGCAATTACTGAACCTCTAGTTGATGTTGTGGAGGCAAAACAGATCGTGACTAATTCTTGTCTTCTAAAGGTATGCTATAGCTAAATACAAAGATTACTTATTACTTCGGTTTTAAACGTAGCACTATTGCTAATTTCAATGGTCTTGGTTTAGGAAATCAACATTGAAACAGTGACTAAGGAAGACTTAGAATTTGATGTACCATATCAGCTATTCTCTCAGAGAGATGATTATATTCAAGCTTTGGTCTCGTATTTCACCATCGAATTTTCTCATTGTCATAAGAGAACAGGGTTTTCAACAGGTACTAGCAAAAATGTTGATACTGACGTACTGTAGATTGCTACGAATTGGATTTTTCTCAGGATTATTCTCCATCAAGTCATTGACATACGTGCATCTCATTTATTCTCTCTCGCATAAATGACGCGATGATTCATTCTCGTATTAATTACATTGTATCTTCGCTATATCGTTAGCAGACGTTGGTATTCAACGGATATTTTGTTGTTTGATCAAGTGTCATTCGGTTCTAGGACTTACATATACCAGTAACAATTTCTCGATAAGCACTTGCATGCAGGCACAAGCCTGTTTAAACGCAGGTTATAGCGACATTTTCTGTATATAGATTGGTTAACCGCATTACAGTACTTTATAGACCTAGTTGTCTAGAAAACTATCTACAAGAACCTGCTTTGTGCTGTTACATACATATGTAGTATTAACGTATACATACCTTGTTTCCTAGGTCCTGACGCAAGATATACTCATTGGAAACAGACTGTGTTTTATCTTAATGACTATTTAACCGTCAAACATGGCGAACAGATTAATGGAACATTCGCATTAAAACAAAACACTAGAAATAATGTGAGTATTATAAAATTATCGTAAACAACTTGCAATGCCCCCCGTCTAGTTATCGATTAAGAGATTGAGACTATGTGGAAGTTACCCCCCGTCTAGCAATCGGTTGAAAGTTTGAGACTATATGGAGGTGACTTCTCGTCTAGCAATCGATTGAAGGTTTGAGACTATGTGGAAGTGACCCTCCGTCTAGAAATCGATTGAAAGTTTGAGACTATATGGAGGTGACTTCTCGTCTAGCAATCGATTGAAAGTTTGAGACTATGTGGAAGTGACGTCCCTTAATTCTGTCTAGCAATCGATTGAAAGTTGATTGAATCATTCTCATTTGTTTGAAAAACACTTATTACGAATATCGAATCGATGAACTAACGTTACAACATCTAGACGTCCATAGAACAAACGTCGTTTGAAACCTAATTTCCTTCTCTGTTTTTAGCGTGATCTTGACTTCAATATTTCAGTGAAGTTTCAAGGAGAATTGAGCGAGGTTGAGGAGGAAACAAAGTACAAAATGAGATAAACTTTATATTAGAGACGAACAAGATGCGCCACAGCGGTGTACAGTAAGAGATGATATATCAATCACTCAGACTTCGTCCCTCACGAGGCTACCATTGGCATTGGCCCTCTTCTATATGTATCTGCAGTAAATCATGGACATTAAAGGAATACGTTCTCAGTGCTTAGGGGTTAAAAGGATTTTTATTTTCTATACAGTGAAGTATATTTTTCCTGGAAAGGCCTATTTTTTGGAGGATCCTTCAAGGCTTATTTACACGATCCAATACGACTAATCGTACAGTGTAAATGGGCCTTAATTACTGGTATCAAATTGGTACAAGTATTACTATAAGGCTCCGTTTACACTATACCGGATTCGCTTGTAACGATATCTTTGTTTGGTTAGTAGCAAATGTTTATTAGTTTGATAGATTTGGTATATTTATTTCGATATCTGACAGTAAAATTTTAATTTCCACAAATTTTTCCCCACTCTGGAAGTAATCCGGTATAGTGTAAACTGGGCCTCTGGTTTCACTTTATAATCAAAAGTACTTCCTCGAGAACGTTTACACGAGGTTGGAACTTGGAAGGATTTTGAAGTCTTTTCCGCTGTTTCCACGTACCTGACTTAAAGAGGCGTAAAATGGACTTTGAGGTATTGAAATAAGTAAATAACGTGATTCTGGTAGTCGTGTGATCATCCTAACAATAGCATGTGAGCTGGGTTCTGTTTCAAAAAGACTTTTCAGTACCTCAAATTAAGTCCATTTTATGCTTCGTTGAATCTCGGTAACCGGGCTCATGTAAACAGCCTCTAAATAATGCCTTCCATCAGGAGCTCCAAATTCTTCAAGTTCCCTCGCAGAGGAATTTCAGGTCGGTTCCAAATTCGTCCAGTATCGTATGAACGGGGCCACGAAAGGTAGAAAATCATGAAGAAACTTTCATTTAACGCATAGCGTGCTGTAAACTTTCTCTTAGCCTCGAACATTTCTCGGCCATATGTTGAAGTATTCGCATTTGCTTGGGCATTTTGCATGGAATGCATTATGGCCATTCTACTCGCAGTTCTACTTATTGTTTTTAATTAATAAAATTAAGAGATTTTTCTGTCAAAATTGTTTTCTTGCTCGTTTGGGCGATGCCATATATTGAATGATGGCTTATTTTCTTTAACTCTCAAAATGGCAAACGTTGGTAATTGCGCTTTTAGGGGCGGAACATTTTTGGAGATAAAGGAATATTATTTTACGAAATGTAGCTATAATGGCTATAATTAGGCTCAGCTGACATTAAGCTAAACTCGATCGGCGCCTTCCTGTCACATGTTTACGATGCTGAGAAGAGAGGTAACCAATCAATTTAAACACGAACAAGTCTTGACTAGAAAATCAAATTTAAAAAGAATAAACACCAAATGAATAAAGTAAAGAAACACAAATAACTTTTTGACAGAAACTACGGGCGACATGTAAAAATAGGAAGGTAGCTCAAAAAATAAAATTTCTGCATCTAAAGGAGAATTTTGTGATCACGCTTTTGATTTCATACCAAATTGCACTCCGTTCAGTTCAAGAGGCGAAGGTGCCCTAATCCATCAATGGAAGAATGCTAATTGATGTGACATGACTTGCTATTTTAACTATATGGCTCTTCTAGTTTTCACCCCATGACAATCACTTCGGCGGTGAACACTAACTTGGCCGCCATCTCTGAAGCCAAATTTGAAGGTAGTTTTGCTGAGTTTTTGAATTTTTGGACAGACGTAGAGAATAATTATCTAGTAATGTCTAGAACCATGTAAAATACAAATTATTTTTGATAATTTTTAAGTCAAAAATTGCTTCAATTTTTGTCTTTAACCAAGTACAGCGCTGACTTATGGCGATCCAGGTTACAAACCATTACTTACTCCATTAGTGCATAATCACCCTGCGCCCGCACAATTAATGAAAATATTTGGGTGATTTCCCTTTATCTTGTATACTTCATGGTACTACAGATTAGAATAATAATCGGGATTAGCAACATCGTAAACAATGGGCCAAAGCAACGAGTTGGTTGAATGTGTAAAACTCCGTTATAACGGATTGTAAACACGTCGAAACAATGTAAAACAAACGCAACACACAGTCGTAACATGATTGATAGAAATACTGACGATGAGAAAGAGTAAAAAGTCGTCCCCAGGGAATTTCAGTGTTGCCAGATCGAGAAAGGTTTGTTCTTTTGCTAATTTGCTACATGGCAACGGATTAGAATATTAGTAATTGTTTAACATTCCAAAGCATACAAATATAGAACGAATTTTTATTCTATATTATTTTAGTTCATCAGAAAAGGAATTCTTTTCGATTGTGCAAAAGACTCGCTATGGATAGCGAGTCTAGCGATTGTTTGGCGAAATTTCTTATAGAATATCGTATTACATATTTTATTAATTACTTTCAAATATACTATAGACGCGCGATGAAATATATCGCTTTTAAGTAAACAAGTTATATTCTGAATTACATTCTTGTGTGGCAGCTGGTTTAAAGTTATTTGATTATTATTTTTGCAATGTGCAGAAATGCAAATGTGGACTATAAGGTTAAATCTTCTCCAAAATTATCATTCGCACGATTTACTACATTTATATTGATGATTATATATATTTTCAAGACAAATGACAACAGATTGTATAATTACTTTGATTAGTTAAGAATACGCACTCCCTAGCATCCTCTTCGCCTATGTATGCAATTGGTTTTCCAGACAACAAGGAACAGCTAGCTTAGCTAGGAAGCCCTTAGGGCATGCAATAGGGTGGGCTGCTCTAATAAGTGAGCAGTCACAATCATTGTGCAATTATGATTACTGGTTGAGAGGGCTGTGTGAAGTGTGAACTTACTATGCACAGTTAGCACAAAGTTATGCCTCTTACATGACAACAAAATGTATAATTCAATTGATATGGTAGAAAGGGCTGTATATATACGTATTTGCGTCAGCAAACTTCCCTTACAAAATTAATTGACTTACAGCTACCTTCATAACAGGGTACATTCTGTATTGTAAATATACTCTGTGTTTAAATTCATGCAATTTACTATACAATTTACTTCTAAAATTGAATACATAATATTAATTGAGCATTTATAATATGTAGCCTATCCATGAGTTGCCATATACACAGCTACATATATAGCAAGGCAAACAAGATATATAAACAAAAATGTTTTATTTTAAGATATTTTGATTTTCTTCTTTAGGTAACATCGGATTCCAAAGTACGACCATTCACATCAAAAGGCCCAGGAAGAAATACTCTTTCATCATCAGTTGATACAAAGCAGTTAATTACAAGACCTAAAACATCTCAAGCTCTTCTTCGTAATCGAACAAGTGAAACAACAGATATCGAAGAACAGTAAGACTGGCAGACATTTTTAATATTAGATTAAAAATGGCACACTATATAAATATGATCCAAATTAATCACTTAATTGTGCTAAGCAAATCATCTGATCAACTGGGGCAATTTTAATTAGAACATATATAAACATAGTTGTAGATCAGGGCAGGCTTTTTATAATATTACACATTCTTTGTACCTTATTGAGAAAAAATGAAATAATTACAAGTTAAATAAAAAATCATGCTGAAAATTTCACAACTCAATCATTATAAATGATGGTAATAGAACGAATAGGAGTGCTATTAATATTGGTAATTGCACTGAGTGGAGTGCAATTGTGTTTGAAATCAAACGCATGAAAAAAAAAGTTTTTACCCTTTTTTAGAAATGTCACTCAAAACGAGAGTCAGATCAACGATAATAGTCGAAAGTTGGATAATATTGAAGCAAATGTTAAACGGAATGACAGATCTTCATCAAGTAGTGCTATCCGTCTTCATGCGCCGAGGGACAGAAGTATTTCCTTTGGTAGTGGCAGTGACTCCTCAGTGACAGGAAAACGGAGTGAATATAGCAAACCCAACAAAGGTAAACTGCATGTTTTGTATAATATGAGAGCAATTCGGGTACAAAATTATTCTGAATAATCCCTGTTTATTTGGACAACTAGGTGGAGCTGGATGTCAATTTTTTTTACTGTCAATAATCTATGCATTTCATGTTTTATTTAGAACACGTTTTATGCTTTTAATAAAAAAACACGTCAGTTAATGTTTAAGATTTATTGGAAAATAGTTTAAACGGAAACTTTTCGAAGAAATCCTAATTGTTCTACCGTAAAATGTAGCCAATATGTATAAATACCTTACCTAACCTTTGTCAATGGTTTTGATGTTGTTGTTGACCGGTTTTGAAAACCAACCTTCCAACTGTGATTGAATTAAACCATGCAATTATTCGCCATTCGAAGAAAAATATTCCCGCCAATTGTTGATGTTTGAGAAACATACACCAAATTGCTGATTCTGGGCGAGGAATGGGAAAATCCTCCTTTTGGAGTATATGCATTTTTAAGTCAATGTAGTTTTAGTGAGCGCAGCCAATACACAATTTAGCGAATTTAACTGCAAGTTGTTAGTCGTGATAATTTGTTTCTTTATAAAAACAATTACTACTAGCTTATTGGCAGGGGGCTTTAAATTTTTCGATGAGATTTTAGTTGATTAGGAAACACGCGCTGTGGCAGAGGCACTCTTTTTGCCTACGATCTTTTTTACACTAATTGAGGAAAGGTTTTTGACATGGGACTGTGAGAAATAACTTTCAGTTGACTTGAATCAAGTCATGGTTCGACGATCGAGGCTTGTATTTTTTATATTCAATTTGAAAACAATAGAATGCGACAATCTAAGGGCACGAACTAAGAGTATGCATGGCCACTCCCAATGATCAACTTGATATGCCTAGGTCTATCGATCCTTATTCTTTTCAATGACCCAGTGCCAGTTCTATTCCAGCGTCGCGATGGAAAAAAGGAGGCCAGCGAGTAAATTTTTCGCGGATATTTTTCGTAGGAAACTATTTTGTTTTGGCTAGACTGTAATACTCCTAATTTTAGTTCAAGTTGAAATTATAATAGATTTATACGCAAGTTCTGACAGAACATTCAGCCATGGATATCTAAATAACAAAACACATACGACAGATTATTTGCTTTCGCTGCGTCTATACGGCCCTTATACCGTAATAACTATGCACCTTAGATTCAAAAGTCAATATCAAGCAAAGTAAATCCTCCATAAGACCACACACCACTGCTGGCCCATCAAATTTTAATCCAGTTCAACGTAAAGTTGCGTGGCAGTCAGATAAAGATCTCATAGATACTTTATCGGATGATGATGATGATCCTCGGAACCAGGGGCAGAAAGTGGAAACGCTCAGGGATAGCTTTCAATCACCCATGATTTCCATTGAAGACAGCGGCAGTGAATATGAAACCGACCTTGAAACAGAACGTCCAAGTAAGTGCAATTTTAGCGAAAATATTCTTTTGAAATATCTACATCAGACTCTTCTCGTTAGCAAACAGAATTCTGTAGCTATATTTGTTAAATAGAATATGATTCTGTATATTGTATTGCAGTGATGAAGACCCGGGCGGTTAACGGACCGAAAGCTTATTTGCAGTATTAAATACTTTAGGCCTATTTACCCTATGCCCATTTGTCGTATACGATTCGTACCCTGGCGTATGTGAAATAATAACCTGAACAAAATTGAATGAAGATTGTGGCATAAGCACTCTTTTGCATTCGTCAGAATGATGATTGCATACAGCTTATCGTGTAGTCTAAATAGGCCGGCTTACTTGGTGTACCTACAAGCTAAATTACTGTTGATTAAACGAAGAAATAACTAAGCTTTAGATGCAGGGTGTAAATATCATTTCTATATAATATACATGCATACGAAATTGCATACCTTTCCTTTCACAATGTTCCCGGGGGCTCTGCCTGCATACAAGTGCATGTTTGTTTATTCTGTGATCCAACATGAAGAATTATTATGCCTTACGACTCTGCAACAATTATACACATCAGAAGTAACAATTACGATATTTCCAGATTAAATAGATTTTGTTTCTCGTTTTTAGCTGCTCCGAAACAATATGATACGTCAGGAAAGTACACATACCTTAAAGTGTGCAAGCAAGAAGGTATTAATTATCAGGCATGATGATTATGTTTAGATTTTAACGTTTAGTTATGTTTCACTATACACTTGAAATTCCTGGAGTCTTGAAATGGGAAAAATTGCCGCCTCGTTCCAACTATAATCTTTATGTATAAATCTATAGGTTTCAGCTCCCTTTTAGCTTCATTTCAGATTTGTATTACGGCTAGCAGGTGCCAGAAATGGTGAAAAGTATTTAACCAACACCATACCATATCTCTATACTCTGAAATTTTGCATGGTGAATTAATACTAAATCGTCAATTTTTGGAAAACATCATGCAGGTGCATGCAGGTCATATGAGGAGCTTTCAGTCCGTTAACCTGTCCATATCAGTATTTCACTGTATGTTGAAGGTCCGCGGGTTAACTAACCAAAAGCTCTGCATACATAATGTATATATAAAAAATTCACGGTAGCGTTCTCTACAAATTGATGATAAAACTATATCACTGTATAGTTACAAGTTATCAACATTCCTTATATATTATTTTTCATGCAGATGTTCTTCCAGTGTCGTCCTTACAAGCAAAGTTTGAGGAAAAGGTGATGGAAATCAAACATCGAAGCCTTGGATCAAAGGGAACCCTGCCTCTGGCCAAATCATTGTTGGTAAAGAATTTAATTCAGTTTTAAAAAGCAATTCTGCTTCAATCTCGCAGTACTATACAAGAAGATTACACAACTTTTACATTATTGCCAGTTATAATTTTGAAATTTGAGTTAAGCTGTAAACGTCTAGTTCATCATGACGTCATATGCAGCGCCTCGACATAATGTTGATAACGAGAGTTAGGATGGACTTCCACTTGCAGAGAAAGAGTTTCCTTGCGAAATATTAATATATTTTCTTTTGAATTTTAACAGAAAAAATAAATTAGTTCAGCTTGACTGTCCACATTTCAGAAGAAAAAATGCAAATATTTACGCTAGCGAACCATCTCTCAGCAAGTGGAAACCCAGCGGCTCCAGCCTTAGGCCTGTTCTCCACTTCAAACGAAACGTATAGCGTATCTTATTGCTTTAAATAATTAGTTCTGGTCAAAGACTCCGGAAACATTGAAATACGCTACGTTACGCTACGAATTGAAGTGTAAACAGCCCTTATCCATGCAATAAATGCAGTACATTGTCTAATTATCTTTTATTATTTGCTAAAATGAGTATGCATATTTTAGAAAAACATTTATGTTGAAAAGTTGGACCTGTCTGATAATGGCATTGAGGACATTGGAGCATCATTGATTGCATCAATGCTTGGTGATAACTGTTATATAACACAACTGGTAAGGATGATATGCATGTGAGATAGGGTTAGCTTAGGCCTAGTTCAATTTTACGTCCCATTTTAGTCACGTCGAATGCATTGTAAAACAACAGATAATGAGATAAAAATAAGGCTTGTCATCTTATGCATTATTTATATGCCTAGATGAAACGTTGCCTTTCTCATGCGCCGAACGTAATGTAAATGAGCTCAAACAAAGACATTAAGTCATTTGCGTTAGATTCGCTGTATGCATGAGAAGAGCAACGTTGGATCTAGGCCTTTTTGACGCGACCAAAATACGACGTATCAACTACGTCTACAAGCCTACATATACGTCGATGTATTCAAAGAGAGTTGAACAATTTTTCTGAAAAAGATTTTACCTTTTAATTTCTGTTATTATTGGTGTAGGATCTTTCAGAAAATTCTATTGGTGCTGATGGAGGCATCGTCCTGGCTGAAATGCTGATGAGAAACCAAATTCTTCGCAAGCTAACTTTACGTTGTAAGTAAACACGTTTCATCTAATTTCACTTTTTCACATCTTCTACATTCACAATGAATTGGAGAGATGTTCGGCCAATTTTGACAGCCCTATATAATTATAAGCACTACGCTGAGATGTTGACCTCAGATCTCTCAGCGCGGGCGCAAATAATGAATTAATACTTCAAAAGTGTAACAACGTGGTATAGGGGGTTGTGGTGTAAATAAATTGTTGCTTTATTGTACAAGAAATCCTTAAGCAATTATTAGAAAATTCTTCTCCAATGGTAGGGTGTGGGCACACTTCGCACAAGTCACTTGTGAATTGTCGAAATGCTTATACATTTATACCTTTAAAGTAATCGATTAAGGTCCCAGATATTTTGCTGTTCGTGTACGTAAACGCACAGATACGCGTTCTAATACGTACGCGCTTAAGCCAGGTTTCTCTTTGCCTTTGCAAATGAAACGAATGCGCATTTTTATGTCGAACTCATTTGTGTTTTTAGATTTTTCATCTACCGTGGCCAATGTTCTTTGTGCCATGGGCGTGAAAAAAAATACCGAAAAGATTAAGCTTACTTAACCCCCGTTTCTTCCCTTTGCGTCTTCCGCTCTACAATCATAGTCATATTGCATTTGTTTCAGCAAATCATTTAACTGATCGAGTTGCAAGACGTTTTGCTGAATCTCTTCGTGAAAATAGAACGTTGTGGCATTTAGATCTCAGTCATAATGAAATTGGAGAACAGGGAGGCGTGTTTCTTGGAGCAGGCCTGGTACTGTCTGATGAATTCCTTGTTTCGTAAATTGCAAAAAAATTAAAAAAATAATTTCCATGATTGGCTCAGATTGAGATATGCAAATTATGACATGCAGGGTACCAGGGCCGTCGCTAAGCTGTTTAAGTAGGGGGGGGGGTGGTGGTGTGGGTAACGAATTAGCCGACAAAATGGGCGTGGTCAATAGGTGTGGTTTTTCTAAATTGACTACATTATTACACGTAATTAAATTTTTGAAATTCGACATCTGTACTTTACGTGTATATTGATTATTTGCCAACAACTAGTTTTCAGGGGGTGTCACTCCCCCACACCCCCGCCCCCTAGCGACGGCCCTTGCAGGGTACACCATGATCGGTAACCATGCACTAAGTAAAAAACCTGTCACATGCTGTTGATCTTTTGTTTTTAAAAGTATATAAAGCCATAGATATTTGTTTCATATTTGGGAAAAATTCTATCAACTTACCCAATCTATATGCGTCATGATATTCATCTGAGCTATATACGTCATGATATGCCGACATTTGCCGACATTTATATGATATATACAGATTTTCGAATTTTAAATATGTATGTATACATGCATTTCAGGCAATAAACTACGGTTTAAAACATCTTGATCTTAGCTGGAACTGTCTTCGTGGGAAGGGAGGAGTAGCGCTGGCTCAAGCTATGAAGGTAGATATTGCATTTAAACAAGTCTAGTGAAAACATATAATTTTTGAGAAAATTAAATGTTATTTGTAAGTTGAATTGTAACGAATTAACTGTAATGATGTATGTACACATGCTTGACTTATATAAATTTGGCTTTGAGGATATAATTATTATGTCAAACGTCCACTTTCAAATTGTACTTTTGTCTAGATTTTCAACGAAAATTTGAAAATTTGCGAAAAATGAAATATATCCTGCCGTAATCATATCCTGGGGGGCGGAAGATCGTTAAAGAGGGGGGGCTAATATTCATATATAGGGACCTATTTTGCAACACTTATAATAATAATGATATTTCCTGAAAATTTAGACAAATGACTCGCTTACTACACTGAATCTTTCGTGGAACGGCGTGTCTTTTCTTGGTTGTGTGGCACTTGGGAAATTCCTTCGCAGGAACGAAAACTTAAAAGAACTCGATCTCAGGTATTATGGATTAAATCGTACTAGAAATTTCTTTTCCATTTTTTCATGATATGAACCTGTTTTCATCATCCTGTTATATATCCTATTATTAATACGTCAGTCCTAAGAGGGGAGAAAACATGGCTATTCAGATGTTCACTTTCCAAAGTTTCGAAAATCATATTTTTTTCTCTACTATAGAGAAAACTTTTCAGTTCCCAAATAAAGGAACATAATCCTTGGGAAAATCTTTCGACTCTCGTTCTTACGCGACTCGCCATACGTCTTCCGCTCTTTTTTAATCTACATCCCCCAGAATAATCCAGGGAGGGAAGGTTCTGGCAATACAGTAACTTCATTTTCATCAAGTGGCCTATATATATACAGTATATGGTGTGATCTTTTTGAGGGAGGGCCCAGCGTTTCTCTCATAGAATACTGGGCATTTCTTATTGTTTTTGAGCTGAGAGAGGTATTAAAAACGAGATTTGTCAGTTTGCTTTTATATAGGCTTCACCTCCACTTTCTAATGTTTCATGCAGGAACAATCGGATTGGTTATCTTGGCGCTCAAAGAATCTGTCCTGGAATTGCTAAAAATACCTCACTGGAAACTATCAAGGTAAGGATTAATACAATCTTGGCCACAAGTTTAATAGCATAGAGAGACTTTGATATTGCCTGACTTGATATTCAAGGGGAAAATTTTTTCGAAAGGTCGGATTTTTTTTGAGCTAATTTACCTTGCGACCCAAATGGTATAGTGCATTGGAAAAGCAATCAATCACGTCCCACCGCTCGGAAAAGCAGTTTTAGTTATTATTATTCTTTATGAACTGCAGGATTGTAAAAGTATACTTTATTTTTCCGCACAGCTTGGGCTCAATCCACTGGGGGACGATGGTGTTGTGGCTCTACTAAAGGCCGTTAAAATTAATAAGAATTTGAAAATTCTTAATTTGGAGGTAGGATGCATTGCGATTTGAAAGAATGCCTTTTATGAACTTACGACAGGTTTTACCTATTAAGCATGGTTGGGCAAACCTATCTATAGCCTATATTTTGCCGGTACAGATGATGAGTTAATGAAGTCGACGTCTGCGGAATAGCGGAAATTGACGTACAGTAAATAATTTGAATGAAATAGCGATATAATTTGAATAGGCCAACAAATTTCAGGAAAAACGGTAAAATTAATACAGGTTTCAATAATATTGCAACTTTATACCAATATCACCTCTACCAACAATATTGTACGCTGGTCGTTTGTACAGAAGGTGGTTAGCATTATCGATCGGATTGTGATTTTTGTGTCTGTATTTCTCTAGAATTATAGGCCTTAACTGAGACTTCATAATTGTTGCACAATTAATATCTGCATGTGGTTCTATCAAGGATTTTACTACAGTTGAGAAAATAACTCTTCTTAGCATGACACAATAAAATAATGTACGCCTTATACAACCGACCCTGGTTAACTGTGTATGGTATTTTAATTTGCTTTTGGTATTGTAAATTTGAGCATTTAATCTTCAGCATGATAGAGGCCAAATTCTCTCATATATCAACCTTAGCCTGTCAATGGGTAATTTGCTGGTTAGAGAACAGTTCATTATTTTGAACGTATCGCTGTTACTTATACTTTTGGTTCATTTTTGTTCCAGAACATCCCGGTATCATTGAACGCATTTCGTGAAATTCAACAGTTGGAGAAAAATCGTGCAATTAAAATCATCACTGGGGGTCTGGGGAGCTTTAGGAAACCAGAGGTATATAAATTAAGTTTGATCGACCGAATAACGATATAATTTGTATTGATCACGTTTGCCTTACCTAAACATACATAACGTCAAAATCGTTGCCCTCAGAGACTTCAAAAACACAGAGCAGATCAAACACTGCGTTCTCAATGAAGCGAATTAGTTTTGAACATTTCGGCACAAGCGACCTCAGGTGGATTACCTTGCGTTTTTTACGCAATAATTATTCAAGCGGATTTCTTAAAATGGAGCGAGTCGTTTTGTAAATCTAATGAAATTACTCCCTATAGAAGAACAAATTGAAGCAGAAAATGGCCTAAAATTATTCCGTGGTAACTGGTAAACTAACTAAAGTTCTAGAATACTGCGTATCCCTGTTTCGAATTGAAACATCGTTCTATTTGAAATTCCGTACACCCAAGCTATTTCTTATTCATTTGTGAGAAATTATTTTCTTCAACAGATTCAGTGGTTTTCTCAAAACAATTCTTACCCCGGTTACGTGGCACATATGAAGTCTTCTGCATGATTGGACGATTTGTACAACTCAGTGTCATCATTTTTGTTAATTAATTCCACAGCAAATGCCTCATCAAATGGCCATACTGTTGGACTTTATCAAAGTAAATCGCCTGCGGTTAGTTGATTGGTTCTTCCGCTTTGACAAAGACAGGAGTGGCGATATTAGTAGAGAAGAATTTAAGGTTGGCCTAAAAGAAATTGGATTGAAGATGACACAGGTATTTGATTCTAAAATATATATATATAGATACGAAATAAATTCTGATTGGCCAATTCTGTGTTAAAGGTATAAAGATAGTTGCAGATAGGTTTGTGCAGGTTTTGCGCATCGAGGAAGGCTGGAAGTTTCCCGAACTCACCCAGCGCATATCGAGTTTGTTTATATAGTTATTATCTCACACCATTTCGGAAAAAGTGTTCAGAAAGTTACGCTTATCTCTTACCTTTTTTTGTTCATGCAGACAGGCATTTTTGGGCGCACAATATACAACGTAAACAAACAAATTTAGGTTCCAAGAAAAGATTTAAAACTCCAAATTACTCCCTTATTTTTGAAAGAGAAAATGCACACTGTCTAAGATGGATAGCGTAAAGATTACGGATTTTGCCGAAATATTTTTTTCGGCCATCGTTGAAAAAGCCGAACTCGCTAGTGAGTTCGGACTAGCATGAGGACCCGAGAAAAGCTTATTCCTGCTCGAGAACCAATGAGAAAGCCGCTTTTACACAAGGCATGTGATAGTATAAATTATAAGAAAATTGTGAAGGAAGTGTAATCTGACAAAAACCGACTACGTGTTAATATAGAAACAATTGGACACTTTAATCGAGTATTTGGACGTTGATAACAATGGAAAAATCGAGTACAGGTTAGTTTTAATTGTTTTTGCTTTGATATTGCCTGCATACAAGGGGATGCTTTTAATGAATAATCATGATCACAATTCGTCTTATTGCCGAGTTATTTGATTGTTCATTGTGGGCGGTGCATGTGTATATTCGTCTTACTGTCCGACTGATTTCTTTTGTATGCTATTGTTCCTACGATATATAAACATGAATATATGAAAATAAGTGGTCCAGCTATGGCCCTGTTCATGCACTTTACCTGTGCATTAAGCGGTCCAGCTACGGCCCTGTTTATGCACTTTACCTGTTGGTATTGTGCTGTTTTATATTTCGTATTATTGAATGCAAACGTGTGCTCCCGTTTAACATACGCATTATAAAACATTTCAAGCTTTTTATTACGCTAGTTATTGGCTCACGTACATTAATGATAACCTCCAGTGCGGATTTGCATGTTACGAATTTTTCTAGAAATATATACTTTATTTTTAGCTTTATTTTGGACATTATCAAAATACTCGGAAATTCCTGTCAGATATATCTGTCAACGCACTCAACGCATCTCTGTTAAGCCATAATTTAAATTATGCTAACACATGAATTCCTTGAAATGATTTGACCATTTATTCCTGTGTATAAAGCTTCTGGATATATTTTTAGTGAACTCCTGATTGGTCGGGATCACACATTACGGGAGCAGAGGGACTTAAGGATGGCTCAACAAAAACTGCGCAACGTTGAAGATATGAGAGCTCGTTTGCCCACCCTTGCAGGTTTTGAGCCTGATTAATGGTATAATGAAGGAAGAATTATACAATTCCTTTCTATGAAGAACCTCAAGAGAGAATCTGCTGTTGAGTTATTTACGAAATATTTTTCACCAACCATCCATTTTGGTCGTGATGAATTCGTAAATGATGCCGGTCAAATTTCCACGCGAAATTTAATTTTTTTTATGCTGAAGATCATAATCATCTTTAGTACGAAAGAGGGAAATCGTACCAGTCTAATGATAAAACTGAAATTAAGCAGATTCTTTAAAGGAGAATTTGAGAAAGATGTTTTGAATGGTTTGAATGGATTCATTTCCCCGCACAAAACGGAATCGAAAATTTGAAGTGGTGAAAAAACTCAATCAGCGTGTGAAGTGTCAAAGAATATCTTTCATATTTTCAAAAAAATTTGCATCAGCGTAATGTTTTGCGTAAAAAATCAAATATGCAAAACTTTATATAGCAGCTCTCAGCTCTGATATCTCTATGCAGTGGGAAAGAATAAGTGCATCTAGTCAAAAAAACCCGCTGTCCCAAATATATATATTTTTTTCTTTTGCTAGAAATACAATTGAAAAAGGTCCTAAGATAAATTGAATTGTTTTAATAAGGGGGCAAATTTATTGTATAGAATGGAATTCATCTTGCAGGTAGCGATGAACCAATTGTAAAAAGCTATTATACGTCTTGCTATGCAGATTTTAAGTTTTATAAGATTATATATTAATTTAATTTCTCACACAAAGCGGGATTAAATAGTTGCTGTATGCTGGGTACGCTGGTTATATATATAAGCACGTAGACTAATACAGTATCTAAACAAAAGTTACCATTCATTCAAAAAAAAATATTGTGATGCGTTGTTTCGTTATAATTATTAAATTTTAGATGGGTTATTTTCTATATAAACACCTGCAGCAAAAATTTTAATGTCAAAATGCTGAGAATAATCCCACGTATTGACTATGATTCATTTATAACTACGAGGGATGACAATGTGATAAGAGTTAATCCTCATTTAGATAAGAATTCCTTCAAATAGTCCTTAATCTATGTATGATAAAATGATACGTTCTATGATTGATGGCTGCTGTATCGATATTTTCGTCACATATACTCTTTTCAAGTTATTTTTATTCAATCACATACACCGGCGGTTGTGAACTTTTGTTGGCCTCAAAATTCCAGAATATCTAGTATCTAAAGTGTATAAAAAACGCGATGCATCATGCAGTATAGCAGCGACAAGAATAAATTATAATAATGGTAGTGCTCTGTGCTAATTTGGCATTAAATATTTCCCTTTTTTTCGGGAATGCCCGCGAAGACAAGTTTTTAACGCGCAAAGAATGGCAGTAGTGAAATGAAAATATGAACTTGGGATGGGAATTTCTTAAATATAATGGGCTAATTTTCTTTTAACTTTTTTATTAATACTGCATCCCGTGAATTGCGAAAGAGTACATAATTTATATGTTCGGTCTTATTTATAGTCATAGATTTATAAACTACGTACATGAACTTTGTATATATTATAGTTATGAATTTCCCAAGTTATCTAATTCCCACAATTCTTTAAATGCTATTAATATTTACAATATACAACATCGAAAGATATTCTCGCGTATAGACTATTATAGTTTGGAGGGGGAAAAATGCAAATTATAAGAGCAGGTAACTCTTACTAATATTGTTTTAAAATGTTTTGTTCTATGCGCGATACACAAGCCAATGAAACGTTATAATTATTTAGTTAATCACGTAGCCCAGTCTTAGAAATGTTTCTTTTGTATATGCTATTTGCATTAGTGATCGAATTTTTTAGCAATACGTATATCGAGACAACGAAGACACACACTGAACGTGTCTTCTTTGATGTTAAATAATTCATTGTAATTTAAATTTCACTAAAATTGATTCCCACTTTGTCTGCAGGTGTCTCGCTAAGTGTAATTTATACACGTTATGCTCCAATATGATTGGCTGACGTCACATACTTTAGTGTATTATTATTCCATCCACGCCTGCTGTTATATGATCGTTATCTTAAAATGCGACAGGTTGTCCAATATTTTCTTCCTGACAACGATATGGATCGATCGCTGCCGGTTTTTAAGTATTTTGTACATAAAAAACCGACAATATACATGAGATAATGTTAAATATTAAGAAGTATGCCGACTATTAGAATACAAAAATTTGCTGCGGGCTATTCTCACGGAGAATTAATGATTCAGCATGTGGTATGCTTTTGATTGAGTTAAGATACTTCAAGTTGACAGTCTGCATCGCTGGCTACTTCTGCTATTCAGTTAGAAACGTCTAAGTTACACATTCTATTTTCGCACCGTTCCTGTTTACGCTGGCCCCGTTTTGCAATTTCAACGAATACTCAGTGATGAAGAAGCAAGCTTACAGCGAACCGAGGTAAGACAAATCCAGTATTCCATCAAAGCGTGCCTCTTACGTTTGTCGCTTACATTGTCACTGGCCGCGTGAGCAGACTGCCACAGCGCGTGGCAACCAAGTAGCCTCGTATCTGCCATATTTGCATGGCAATCTATTAAGAACAATGTCAATATAATGTTAAACATTTCCTAAAGCAACAGCTAGGTAGTTACTCCCCACCGCACATTCTTCTCAACTAGTTAATCCGTTTTTGGATTTCACAGCCAAAATTTAATCACACCACTTTAGAGTCGTATCGCTTTTTGGCATCTCGCTGAGTGGTCGAACAAATTAATAAGGATCGACGGGACTCAATATTACACGCAACGGAAGACGTCTGCTTGACATTTGGTTTCGTTGAAGAGCACGAGATCAAGCTAAAATATATTGAAGCTGATGGAAAATTTTGTATCTAAAACTTTTTTCATTTACGATACGCAAGAAGCAAAGCTGGCATTCCAGGTTTAATGGTCTACAGATTGAAACCCTACATCAAATGCGCCAAAAGCAAACAAAGAGGCCAAATATTTCTAAATTACATGAATTGCATTCACTGAATCCTGCTTTAGTGGCTTTGAAATTCAAAGAAATTGGTTTACTTTCTCCTTAAAGCTGTCGTGTGTATACCTGTGGCTAACTGAAGGAAGTGTACTACTTTTTATAACGGAAATCAAAATCAAAGCTATATTGCAGTATAGACTATAGTACGAGGATAATCGTAATAGTCGTGCGCTTTGTTCCCTAAATACATTTTAAACGATATTATCAAGCGTACATTATCATGAACAGCCATACTACATTGTTCATTTTACAGTGGCTGTTTGCATTCATCGGTATTTTGGGTAATTGCTGGGTTATCTTGGCTATTTTACGCTACAGGGCCATAAAGAGAACCTCAAATAAAATATTGTTTATCAATTTGGCCGTCGCTGATATGGGAGTCCTTGTTATCCGCAATCCTTTCTATTTTCTGTTGATATTTTCTCACAATCGTTGGCTCTTTGGTGAATTTGCTTGCAAAATATTGCTGCCTGTTTCGCTGATGTTTATGCCTGCTTCTGTTTTAACACTGGTTGCGATATGGTATTCAAGATGCAATGCGATTGTAAACATCAAGCAGTTGAATGAAATATCGGTCAGATCTGCTTGGTTCACGGTGATTTCTATTTGGGCATTTGTTGCTGTATATTATCCCATTATCGAAATTCCATTGCGAAATGTAAACACGACGGCTGAGTCTTGTGAATTGGCAATTTCGAAACCAGTTTCATATACACTTTATGCACTTGAGGATTTGTACTTTGTCGCCGCATTCTTGGTAATAATAATCATGTTTATTCGAATGAGAAGATCTCTGCTTAGTTTCTCGAAAGTCTACAGCGATGATATAATTGTTAAAAGGTAAACACTTTTTTATATTGTTGTCTTTGACTTTATGTTTGTTACACGCTGAAAATATTAAAATTAATTAGACATGTATATTTAGCCGATGATTTATACAAGATGTGGACAAGTGGTTTATCCTGAAGCCATATGGCCCCTAAAATACAGAACCATGCATTTAACTGTGTAAATATGATGAACTATAATAGTTTAATTCTAATGGTTTAAGCCTTCACCACGTTTCGCATATTTTTTTATGATTCCACGCCACGCGATTGTTTAGATAACTATCATATCCTGCAAATTCGACAAAACTGATAAAAACATGCATAAATTGATATTGGGGGCGTAATCATGTCAGGACTAATGCATTTTATTATATGAACATGAGTGTTACATAGAATTTTACGCCACGGAGAAAAATCGTCATTTAATATTTATATACTGCGATATTTTTTTCGTGTAAAAATGTCATTTTCGCAAGCCAATCAAAAACCGCGTAGGAAATAGGTTTGACCAATCAAAAAATCTCTTGTAAAACGTTCCAGTTTTTGAATTTGTTGTTATAATTTGTTCATATAATAAACAGAATATTCTACATGGTTGCTTGGAAATATTGATTTATTTCTCGTGTTGAAGAGAAAATTGCTGACTCGTTCCCTGCGCTCGCTCGTGAGCAATATTCTCTTCAACACTCGAAATAAATTCCATATTTCCGCAAAACCATGCGTATAATATTCTCTACATATGCACACTATCACTGTGCTTGTTCGATCCTAGAAATATTTCGTGGCGAGAATTTACTTTAATGCGACGCCATTAAAGTACATTTCGTGTCGAGAACCTAAAATTGCCTGACAAAAACCAGAATTTCCTCTTAGGGTTTTTCGACCAAAATGCAGTTTTTCGACCAAGATCCAGTAGATTCGTCATGAAGTACGGCGTGCCCAGACGGGCATGTTTAACGTGTCTCTCAGCTCCAACTAACTCTTGGTTTTTGCTTAGATAAATTCCAAATAAAATAGTCTTCATTTCCGGTTGGCAGGAATACAAAACTTTAAGGTGTTTGTTATCCTTTGCATGTAAAAATATACACACTTGTCCACATAAATTGCTGGGGCCGGTTGTTCAAAAGCCGGTGGTTAGCTTAACCCTGCAAACCTTTACATGTATAATTTTACATAATTTTAATCGCTCGTTTACAAAGTGGAGTATAATTTTACATAAATATTTTATGGACCGACAAAAGCCTATTTTGTAACGGTTTTAAAATGAACAGTGGTTCAGAAGCACTTAAACAAAAACAGTTGATTAAAATTTAACCCAGGTTAGCGCTAACCCAGCTTTGAACAACTGGCCCCTGGTGTGCAGGAAGAATGCATGGGGTGATTTTTTTTCTTGCAGACACAAACGGTAGCCGACATCACTTAGGGGTTGTTTACATGAGCCCGGTTATCCGAGATTCAACGAAGCGTGAGAGAACTTTGAGGTATTGAAATAAATCTTTATGACACCAAACAAACACATGCTATTGTTGTGGTGATTATACGACTGCCAAGCTCATGTTATCTGCTCATTTCAATGCCCCAAAATCACGCTTCGTTGAATCTCGTGTAACCGGGCTCATGTAAACAGCCCCTAAATTCGTGCGTAGATAGGTTTGGCGCGATTAACAAATTAACTATTTGCTTGCTCGTGCACTCACGCGAGAATTCCGAAAATGCGAAAAGATATTGACAACGTAGAAATTATCTTTTCTATGCTTTTGGTGCATTCTGAGCTCTTCTTTAAGATGAGAAAGGTAAAGGTGGGCGTTTAAAGAAGCTGCTTCACAAATTACAACGTACAATGTACGTACAGCGGTGTGGTTGATCAAATTACAAAGAAATTTAATGAGTACACATGAGATGGAACCCGACTAAAATAATATAATGACACTCATAGCGTTACAAACAGGTGTCCGTTTTTTATTAATGCTTCCCCCGAGGGCCCGTCTCTTATATATAATAATAATTGTTCAAATTTTATTTTACTATGATGGGTTTATTTATTTCAAGAATGCTGAGTGCACACATCTATAGTTTACGTATTGAAAAACTTAACAAACTACTCGCCCTATTTAGACGCGTGTAAATGTTTTTGTTGAAGATATTCATTCAAAACTCTTTCATGTGAACAGATTGATGAAGAATATGAAAGCTTTGAAACTATTATGGCCTGTTGTGATTGCGTTATTCATCTGTATGTTGCCCCTTGCAGTTGGTCGGACGTGGCAATGGATCAAGGGAGGTGAAGATGATATACCATTATTCTTTTTACACAGTATTGATGTTCTTTTAGTAACAAATAGCGCCTGTAATCCTTATTTGTACATCATCGTGTCGACTGAATTTAGAGAAAAATTCTGGCAAATTCCTTGCGTAAAATGCCTTCAAACTCATTTCGCGAAGTCGCGATCGCCGTCGTCAGGTAGAAAGATGTCTAAACGCGCATTATATGCTAATGTTAAGTTTGAGGAATCAAAAATTTAATATGAGATACTTCAGTAGGTAATTGGAATGTCGCCAACTATTACTATAGGATTTATAAACGTAGGCATTAAAATCCTTCAACTTGATGTTTACGGGGGTAGGTAACAGCAATTAGATGCAGAACACGACACAGGCACTAAAAACTAAAACTGTGGTTTTGCAGGTTGATGCATGTTAGCGGTTATACCCGTAAAGGTCAAGTTTAAAGGTGTTTGGGATAATAATGAATATTGATCATGCACTTATGTAAAAATGACATAGGAACACTCACATAGGAAGACACATTTTGTGATTTTATCAATTATGCATTATATACATTATGTGCTAAAAGTTAGTATACTACTTTCAGAGGCTATTGTAAATTGTGTAAATATTTGATTTATATTCATCATCTAAATGCGTCTATGCGTTTGCAAGAACAGAATTATAACTCGCTCTGTATTTCGTCATTTCAATGGGATTTAAAATTAATTCAATCATTCAAGAAATGTTCACTAATTAGATTGATGAAATGTTTCTTCATCTAAAAGCGTATTTATAATAATAGATATAGATCTTAAAACACAATGTGCGAGCAAAATATATACGTTATTTTTACAAGGTTTACATTCATTATATCCTCTTATATACGATACCTCTCTAGGCTATATTTTACAAATTTTTACAATTGTTTATTATATCCCTTATATGATCCGGCTGATTCGTTTCAATACTCTGTTAAAGTTTGTGCATTTTTGTAGAAAAAATTGCAACTGTTCTTCATTAAATTCAGTATTACTCGGTGGACCGGTGATAGTTCACTAATTTTTCTCAACTGTTCCTGGCTTGAATTTTTTTTTTAAATAATGACAAAGTATTTATTAAAAAGTATTTATTTCTGGCTTGAATTGATAAGTTGTGTATGATTACACTCGAAATTAAGACCCTTTAAAAACCTTCAGAATTTACCTACAACGAGTGAAGTGCCACAAAATCATAACTGATTTACCCTTTAGATATATCCACCACATCAAGAATATGTTAGGAATAATTGTCTTCGCCTGTTTAAGGAAAATAATTAAACTTTACTTCATCCGACGTGGTGTGGATATCCTAGGAAGTTAATGTAATAATTATTGTTGCTATAGCGAAACCAGTAATATTCTCTGAACATAAGTTGATTTTGATCGATAACTTTTGTGCCGTTCTAATTTCATTTAACTAATCAACGATGATCTTGATGAACAAAACGTTATCTTTGATGTATTGACGATTACTCAAACTGTCGATAGGCATGAACAAGGGAGATCCCGATGCGATGTTCATATCAGATTTCGGGCGTTGAAAAGACGAACTTTGAGGATCAGAGTGGAATGCATCAACCATGTGATCTCCATTACCTTGATCCAAGAGCATCATAGTAATTTTCTTTTGAAATGGCCAAGTTTGAAGAGCATCATAGTCACCTTTAAAAATAATTATTATTATTATTAGCCACTTACAATTAATCCCTGGTATTTGTAATCATGATGTGCAATTTAATATTCAGTATGGCCGTACTCTGTAATTGTGACGTCATATCAACAAATGAAAGTTTCTCTAATAGTTCACGACAGCAAGAGTCGGTTTTTTAAATATAAATGATAATAAAACAATTATTAACTAAATAAAATAAATATTACGATTATTTTATCTATATTTTAGTTGGGATGAATAATAAAATAATTATTAAATTCGGTTTTCGCGCGATTTTGAGAATTATCAAGACAGAGATTGTATATCACGCTCAACCTTATCCAATAATTTTTTATCAGTTCTCATATACACTGAGATAATAAAATTATGCAGATACTTATATAGTGTGATCTTTCTATACAACTTACGCGAAAAATTGAGATGTGAAATAAAGTGAATAAACTAAGTTTCGTAATTTTTTAAAATTATTTAAAACTCGAAAGAAATTGGTCTCGTACCCAAAGAAAAAAAATTTCATGTCGAAACGTCTGTAAACGCACGCTATTTAAAGGAGAAAATCTGAGATTATATTTGTGTCTTTCCTCGACCTTTTTAATCTTGCAAAATTCATGATTTTGAACAAGGTTCCCTGTTTGGTTTATCCAATCATCTGACTAGCTTTTGTCTAACGAGATAAAAGGGTGAATAATATTGGCCCTTATGGATTATTAAGGTGATTCTTGTTAATAAATTGAAAAGACATAAATAACATAGAAGGTGCATGAGGGCAGCAATTCCAAAGATTGGTTCAAACTAAAACAGCAAAAAAGTGCAGGTTTGGAAGATTGGGTGGGACTCCGTGTTCACTAAATTGCCTGGGACTTGCGTCTAGTGACTGTAAAGTGTGTAAACTCTTCATTTAAATGTTTTTGCTTTTTCGTCACTTCGGATATGTCTACGGTTTTCCTTTGAAGCATCGATCAGAATGAGTGCATTTACAATGTTAAGCTTCCCTTTGTAAAGATGTTTCGTTAAAATCTTGGTTTTCGTCATAACAACTCCCATGAACATAAGAGGAAAGAGAAACACAAAAGTAAAAATATTTTAAGAACTTCTTCGCCGTTTGTTTTCACTTTTGATTCAATATCGTAATGGGAAAAGACAAGTTTCACAATCGCATTTGTTATTACCTCCTAACTTCTCCAGACAACAACATCGATGGACTCTGAATTGTAAAGTTTCGAAACTTTAAATTATTTTCTAGATCTTTGCAACTTTCTTCAATAAGTTTGATTGAGCTCTGTTTGCATTTCTTCCAATATTCTTGCTGAGTTTGAAATGCGAGCATATCTGCGTCGATTTCGTTTTCATTTAAAGAGCTTATGATCCTTCGTTTCAACAACTCTCTCGCGAGAAATTCTGATGAGTTGAAGTATCTTGCAGCATCGGCAAGCTTGTCTAGGTTCGATGTATGCGGTGTCATGGAAGAAGCGACAGCTGAGGTACTTTCAGTAGGGAGAGAGGATTTTCAATCTGAGGCGGCCTTGCCAGAGTTCGCGCCACATCAAAGAAATAAGAATAATTTCTTTGTTTTTTTCTTCATCCGCTTTCTCTTGGATCAATTTTCCTACATTTTTGCATTCATCATAACATCAATATGACTGGACGTTTTTTAATCATCACAAGTCGGATGAGTCGTTGCTTCATATGAATTTATTATTACTTAAATGAAATGAACCAGGAATAGAAGAAATCTTCTTGCAATAGATCAATGAATAATAATTAAAAGATTAATAGAACATGGATAACATGTATTATTAGGTATAGCTAACTTTCTATCTGTGCATGTAAATTATCTTCACTCAGCAAACAATTATTTTCCATGCGCTTCAATCCCCGCAGTGTCACGAGTGATGGAAATTAATGACCTCGTGCACAATTAGTAGGCTCATCCAGAGCTACACACAGCCATAGTTCCACTTCTTCGTTGATTTCTTCATCCTTAAGCTCAGAGGCGTACGGGAGACGATAATGGGGGGGGGGGGGAGAACATATTCATATAATTAATGTTGTGCAAGATAGATTTCTTTTCAAATCCATTGTCTTTACAGGTCTGTTAACATGAATATAATTATGAATATGTGTCCCCCCCAATTATCGTCTCCATACGACAGTGCTTAAGCTTCAAATTCTGCCATGTCATTAGTACCGACATGTTCTCAGAAAACTGCTTTTTCGCAACTGCATACGAGTCCATCCCTTCATTGATTTTTGTCCATCCACAACGACAATTGGCTCACCTATCTCCTCACTCAGGGTGCTGCCACTCGAAGAGATATTTCCAACAATGAAGTTTTGTTGTACTTGTAACTACTGAAAGATCAACTTCTCCAGTCATATGATTCCAGTCATAAGCAAATTAAATTAAGTACAATTAATTCGAGCTGTGAAATTCAACTAATAAATTAAAATGCGCTACGAATAGCGAAATTTCAACTATTTTTTAAACCACTTTAAACCAGTCACTGCTTTTTTCCAATTCCAATTAATTTAAACGAAATTGATGAATAAATTCCAAAGGGTTTTCCGTATATTTTTTTGATATTATTAAATCGTACATTTTTTTACCATTCACATTTGAATAACAGTTTTCTGGTCTAAAGGCATGTTTTACATTTCCATTTAAACATTTTTTTGCGGGTCAATCTTTTGTATGTGGCCATACCGTGCGTGTATCAATAACTGAACAGACAACGGCTCAATGTTATCTATTTGTTAAATAGACGGCGGAAGATCGTTGATATTAGCCCACTTCCACTAAATAACGATTTTTTTTGGGTCGCCTCCCATACCCCCCGTAATTTTTGTCCTTGCATTCTTTGCTTTCAAACTGAACTTTGAAAACACTTTTACGACACTATACGCATCAGTTAGAAGTTAGAACAACTATTATAATACAAGTCAACTTACCTTTCATGACAACAAAGAAAAGTGATAAATGAGATCCTTTTCCAAATCCATCGCCATTCATGTAGATTTTAGCGCACATCTTATAACCATACTGAGCGCTGTAGAAGGGTTGACTATACAAGGATGTTTTTACCCCATTTATGGCATCTTGTCGTTTCTTCTGGTAATCCTCAATCTTCCACAGCAAGGTTCCGTTGTAACTGTGAATAGACTGTTGTGCACGTGGACCTTTTTGGGTCTCCAAATCGGCAATCTTCACCGTATTCAGAGCAAGAGACTCGTCAATTTGATCCATCCTGCTTCGCATCCGTTCCAGTTGCAATTCCCTCTCTCGCAATTGTCTCTCGGAGGTCCTATTCTGTTCACGTAAAACGTTGATTTCTGTTTTAAGTTGCTCTATTTTACTTCGAAACTCAACAAGCTCATCTCTCATCCGGGTATTACCACCACGATTGGACTCCAAATCTTCGATTCTTCGCTCCAATCCAGTCAATTTTCCGACAACGGTGACAAAGTTTTCAGCCAGGCCTGAACGAACTTCGGAGATATCATTGCGAACTTTCTGAATTATTCCAGTAAATTCAGGTCGTGGAATGTAGCTGCTTAGTTGGCTGACGAAATTAAGGACAAAATGCAGAAGTAATCGGACATGGTCGATCACAGAATCATGCATGTGCCGACGCATCTCTCTTCGCTTCACAGTCTGCAAATCACAAAATTAGAGACATTCCTGAATATAAAAGATCAGTAATATTACTCAAACACTAGTCCAGTAAATCTTTAGGTCCCTCACTTAAAATGCTCTTCAGACTAAGCCCTAAACTGGTCTTTGAGTTTACTTTAGAAAGTACAGTGCTTTTGAGGGGTGTGTATATTTATATATTCGTCTTAGGTGTGGCTGACTGGTTCCTTTTGTATACGCTATTGTTCATACGGTATATAAACATAAATATATGAATATGCACCCCCCAATTAAGCGGTCTAGCTATAACCCAGTTTAGAATCAGTTTTTTTATACCCACAGAATGGGGTTCGTTTCTTCATACTTAGTATTACTATAAGCTAGGGTGTCAAATATCAATAGATAATCTGACAGCATTGGAAGGCATAAAACGTAAGGCAGCTTTCTTATTTTACGAAATGAAAACAAGAATATTATTTAATTCATTAATTGCTAGTTACTACCGAAACAAACAACAAACTATTACCTTGTCATGATTGCAACCCACATGGTGGAATTCGCATTCCCCAGGAACCTCTTCACACACAACTTGTTCATGTCTCTCAATATCCCTTCTCACAACCTCTGTTTTGCAGAATTTACATGTTACTGGTGCACCATCACAGCTTGTACTAATATGGTCCTACACAAATGACAAATAAGTGCAGATATGAAGTACTATATTCTCAGGCAAACTCACGTGAGACAACGTATACGGACTGCAGACTAGACAGAATTTAAGCCTGATTGTCTTTAATCACTGACAGACCGTGATTGCCATTCCAATTATCAATGGAGAAGAGTCTTTTGTTATTTTGAATAAATTTTCTTCGTCATCGGCGATCGGCCTCCAACAATATAGGCTGTGTAAGAAAAACGCAACCACTCCCTTTCCATTCCATCAAAAAACATTGCTAAATATTTTTGTATATTTATTTTAAAACTATTTGAGAACATGGAAACATTCTCAGTTACATTTCTGATTATAAGCCTACGTATTCTGTGGTGTGACGTCGGTGTTGCTAAAAACATTCCATGCTTAAATCTCATATTGTATTACCTGAAGTGAAGCAAGAGAGACATTCTGTGGGCAATAATTGCAAATAACTTTACGATATTCACATTCATTTTTCAAATGTTCATCTAGTTGCAGCCGCTGGAACTCCATTTGACATTGAGAATTCACGCATTTTATCATAGCATACCCACAGACCTGGAAATGGTTCTGTATTAAAAAAGGATTACATGATATAACCAGTGGTAAAAACATACGCGAGATGTAACTTACTCGACAAACATCATCATGGGAAATTCGTCGGCATATTTCTGATTGGCTGTTAAATGTTCAAAAAATTACGACGAAATATCTTCTTTATTGAATAATCCTTCGTAATTTTCCGAACATCAGCCAAACTAGTCAACATCTGTCTATGCCGATGATTTTTACAATGACGGCCTTTATCGAGTAACTATAATTAACTTGCAGTGTTAGGATATAACCGTTTGCTCGACGAGAAACAAAAACTGAAAAAAGTTGAAGTAATGTTAAATACGTTAATTTGACAGTAATTTGTTTTACGCCTGTCCAACTGATCTATAGAAATGCTTTACGAAGCTTTCTACTATAATATTAATATTGTATCGCTCTTAATTTCCGGGTCATAATAAATCGAGATATAAAGGATAAATATATGTGCTACTATAATTATAATAATTCTCTATATCACCTATTAACCGAAATCTCACCTCAATCTCAATATAAACACCGCACCAACGACAGCCTGCATTAGGGCAGTGCAATTTCAAGGCTCCTAGCTCACGGCCAGTGAACTTGTCCTGGAATATCTAGAAAAATTCCAGCAAAAAATCGCAAAACCAATGTACGCGAGTTTTCTGTGATTGTTTTTTACGTAAGTTTCCTTCACTTTTTCGTTTTTTATCATTTTTTAAATTCCTAGCCACTTCTTAGGTTAACTACAGAATTTAAATTCAGAGTCAACTTATGCAAAAACAGTCTCTTTTCTAAAGTCGATACTGAAATTGCACTGAGGAAGTAAAAAACCAGTCTGACTTATTTTCAGTTAGGTATATAGGAATCCGTAATATCCTTTTGTTTATTCCTTAGTCTGTGTCTTTGAAATCAGTAACCATCTAAAGTGTCAACCACCTTTTGACTTGTTCTTTTGATCTCAATATTCTTCAAAAAAAATATGCTATGTAAGACAGCTAAATTTATTCAGTCACTGTTTCAGGTATGTAGTTGAAATCTATACAGTCTCCATTGCATGCCTTTTCCACAGAGGCTTGTTAGCTCCATTCCAGTTTGAAAATTGGTCACTGGACTATACACTCTGATTGGAATGTTTGTTAAGAAAACACAATAATGACACAATGAGTTAATGTTGGACTGGATGGACGTGTATAATGGTTATTCAGCCTTTTCTTAAATCTAAAATTAATTTTATCAACGTGAATAGCTCAAATTTGCGTTGTATGAGTACACATATGCACAAGGCGTTTAAACTCACATCTTCCTTCCTTAGTACTGTGCCATCTTTAGGACAACGAGGGTCTGGGCTCCTGAAATTAATATAGCAGTTAGACCAGATAGGGTTATCAAGAAAAAGCATACATTTGCAGTTTGCAGTTAAACTTTACACGAACTGAATTGCGAGTGTTATATTGCAGATTAACTGGCTAGGATCCATAATGAATGAATATTGATATAAAATGAATACATATAGTAGCTACTTAATTTCCTTTTTTAACTCTTTCTTCTTCTTTATTAATACAACTGACGATACGTCAACAACCGATAAGGCTGCTCCAGATGTGGTATAGCTGGGGGCATGAAAATCTTGCATAAACTCCAGTAAAGAGTTGTTGATTACAGTTGTGGCAAAATAATTATCTTTGGTTGGAGCTGAGAGACCAAATATGTAAGCTTAGAGACAACTCCCTACACCACTAATTAGGATTCACCTTCCCTGAATGCCCAATTTGTCTTCAGCCGGTCAATTTGGCTTAGGTAGTTGCCAAGCATTTGTGTCCGCAGTATCTCTTTTATTAATTCGATTAATCGATCATTTACGGTATTTGGGTTGTGTTTTCTTTGCTTCAGATATAATGCGGTGAAACAGTTGCCAGAAAGACCAAGAGATGGGCGCATTATGACGGAGTTTGGTTCATAATAGACAAACTGATTTGTTAAAATGAGATCCAATGTATTCACGCAAGGAGAAGATTTGGTGCGCTAACTGCTTTAGCTAAAACTGGTGGGGCAAATTGTCGACTTCTGGTTGGTTTAAATATCCTGTCAGTGATAGTTTTGCAACATCCCGTGATAAAATGTTAAGCATTTTCCCGTCATTTGCGTTCGGAGGGCGGTAAACAGTTGCAGAAACCTCGTGGAAGTCTTACTTGTATCCAAAGAGTTTGAAAGTCAGGAGTGTCAGAATGTTGAAGTTGTTTTACCTTAAAACGCTTCTCATTAATTTTGTTCTCCGCGCACCGCAGCCAACTCGCTACTATTAGTACTGTATCATTGTCGATAGAATCGGTTTTAGGATCGTTACAAGTTCAGTTGACATGAAATCCAGAAACTCGAAGGCCGTCCTAACTATCTTCTGAATTTGAGCGTTGATGAGCAAATTTAGAGTTCAAATAACAATAACGACACAGGTTATTTCGCTTTGCGGTACAACAACGCTCGATATTCGTTTTCAGTCCTTAGAAACACGCTGTTTAAACGGATGTGATTTATACGCGCTACTTGTGTCCCACCCATCCCCACACGGGAGAAGCGTAACAAAAGAATCACGTGACCAGCCTTAACCAGGGTCTTTGCCGCAGGGAGGGCCGTGAAGCGTAGGAAGAACAGCCTGGCCTGCGAGGTTGCACCGCAGCCTTTCATCAAGGTCGTGCATTGTTTGTAATGAAATCTTTATTTATTAAAATTATCATCTCCCACCAGCAACAATGGCTGTATGGTCACTGGATTTTTACGATGCCCAATGCTCCCACATTGGCTTTTATCCGCCCCTTACAACCTCTACTGCATGTGTAGAGACACGTATATTTCGTCGTCGTTGCTTAAAACACTTGACCCTAGCTAGTTTCCAGAAAGCTCGCTTTGTAAAATCTGATTTCAACATGACTATATTGCCTGTATTCAAAAACCTCACTCTCTCATAATCATATAATTTCAGAGACAAAAAGGTGAACACCGAAAACGAAGCTCTTATTCGTGTAGAAACACTGTAGAGCAATCGTTACGACGACGACGTGATTTAAGGTCTCTCATTTAATAGGTAATTTGACTGTGAGTCAGCCATTTGTCAGCCTTGTAGTTTTGAATAACGATCAATATTAAATGATGCAATATTTCTCGAAGTAAAGTTCCAGTTTAGATCGAAAAAAATTATATAAATTTCACAATTCCTTTCAATGCGTCTTGAGAGAGTCAGTACTAAATTTCATCGGTTTTGTCATACAACTCAGGAAAACTATAATATAAAAACAGTTCCTTTTTTTTTGCATATACGGAAATGGCGTGATTTTTTACCCACGGTCTCTATTTAATTACGATTTTGTTGCAACGTCTATCCCGATTAAACATGCCCCAAACCATTAATATTTTGTCCTAAGTGCTCAAAGTGAAAGTCTAATCTGTATGTAAACAAATGGCTTGCATGCATTTTTACTGTAACTTACAACTATGTGCTGTCTAAATATCCGGCGCTAATCGACGAAAACTTTATTTCCGTGTGTATATATATGACCACTTCAATAATTACTCTGAGACGATACTGCCTGAATCTTCGCATACTGCCTCGACATGAGCAAAGAAATTTATAATTAGATACATCTAGAAATAATTTATTTTTGTGGAAGTGAATGTATTTGTTGTACATGCAGGAAGAATATGGACGCTCCTTATTCTTAATACAGGAAGTACAGGAAGGAATGTATAAGAGCCGTTTAGCCATAACAAGGAAGTGAGGATAGACGATGTTTTAATGCTTTCTCGCGTGTTCGAACTCACAATTAAAGCACAAAACGATGTCTCCCTGTTTATTTTGTTATTACGTTTAGCCCAAGGGAAACACAGCTGATAATGAACTGAAAATCAAACTATGGACATAATCTGCATGCGAGCACAGCGATGTAAGCACCGGCAGAATTTAGGATTTATATAGGATTGAAATTGATTTAGGTACATACGTTAGCAGTGTGTTGATGCAAGAAGAACACATCAGGTGACCACAAATAGTCTGCGTTGGAATTGACAGCAGCAGGTTACAAGACGTGCAGAAGAATTTAGGATTAATTTTATTACGATCTTCATTCGTAATCTTTATTCCAGGCATGATCGCAAAGATATTGCCCTAGAAAGGAGAAATTAATAAACAACTAATAGTAACCTTCAATGCTGCAACTGGATTAGAATCAGTAAAGCAAACAAACTATAAATATACTGGGTTATAAAGGAGAGAAAACCGATTAAAATATTTATTTCTCATTGGAATTCTGTAATTCAATACTGATGTAGTATATACCTGACCAGATGCACAATTAACATGTAAAATGTTATACTAATGCATGTTGGTGCCTGGTGGTGAACTCTTCACAACATAACCAAAGCATAGAAAGATCGTATGGTGATTCTTTAGAGGTTAAGCTTGGTTTCTTTACATCCAGTTATGAACAAGTCAGTTCACGTCAGTCAAATGTAAATTTATGTTTAATTCTGTATTTTCAAATTGGTCAATGTTGATTGCACACACCTAATTTCATCATATCAGCCCTAGACATGCTCACGACACACGCAACTAAACAGAAACTATAGCATTACCCAAATTAGGGTGATCGTACAAAACAAGTTAAAGCTGGTGAGATCCTAGTTTTCAAGTTCACCCTTACAATAATAAATTAATAGAGTTTTAAAAACCAAAAGCAGGTTGAAACAAAACAAGACAAGAAAGTTAATAGCGGAATACATGACTTGCAGGCTAGACTAGCTGAGACAATGCAACTCATGGACATTAACATGTTGTGGCACGTTTATGCAGAAAATTTCAGAAAGCATGACACATTTTTCTGAATGCATCTGCGGTTTCCTCTATAGCGCCGTACAGCCATCAACATGCATACAATTTCTTTTAGATCGCTTCAAGCACAATATTGTTGATTGGCAAATATATCCGCATATTTTAAATCTATAATAAGCTCACAAACAATTTTTATACAGAGCCAGAGGGGATTTCCCTATCTCCATTAAAATTTATCCAATGAAAATGCCCTATAAAGACATTCATCATCATTATTATTATGAAGCTTTTGTCTGTCATTGCAGCACTTGGTGACGAGATCGAAATTGGCAAAGTCTAGGCGAAGAATAAAGCTATACAGTAAAACAACTTAAACTGATGTCTTTGGCACGTGAATCCGAAACGGTGTAGGCAGAGTCTTAGTCCTGAACAACTGTGAACAGAAATTGTTTGCTTCCGTCCGTCATTCGTCACATACTGAGACGTATCTATTTTAAACCAATTTCAAACACGTTTAAACCAATATTATTCGACCTAAATGATGAATTCGATTGTTCTGGTGATTTCGAAATGTTTTATACATATATACCTTCTAGTATTGCTAATGTAAATTGGAATCATCCCCATAGTAAGTGGGAATATGTTTATATTAATATTCGGTCGCGCTCGTGTAAGAATTTTTACGTACAGCTATGTTTGGCCTTTGCTGTAAAACTAAATTTGCCTTAGTGACTCCTAATAGTGACTCCTTGCAATCTCTTTATACCTTATCACTGAAAGAATGTCCCTCAATCATCTCCAGTTCTGTTCACAAGCAAACGGGATTTTCCAATCGATACACTGTCACTGACCTTCATTGCTGCGAAGCGACATCATCATGCAGTCATACGACTGTTCTTTTTAATTTCAACTGTTTGTTAAACGTAACAAGAGCTGCTAAATGCAATTTTATCAGTCGGGCCTGCAAATATCCAGAGATTTCCTAAAGAATCCTGATATCCAGTATATTCCTGTCAGTAGTTACCAGTTCCCTTGCAATAGAATAATGTTTCCTATGGCTCTGCCATATATATAGGACCCAAATTTGCTACGTCGACGTGATATATGCGTCATACGTCAACGTGAGAAATGCTCTTGCCTCAGAAGAAATGATTTGTTCAAAACGAAATTCCTCCTTGTTTTGCAGGTGACATTATTATTGAAATACAAATTTCAGCCAAATGAGAAAGTTGCTGATTAACGGTTTCAACTCATTTAAATTTCGCGCATGCGCATAACTAACAAAACCACCAAATGTTCTTGACATAGTATTTTGACAACTTTGGATTCCGCTATGTTCTGTCACAATACCCAGGTGTAATTCTTAATCTCCGGGCTTAGTACCCTCGCACGGTGCTCTGCACTGGCTCGGGGATTAAGATCCAACGCTTCCCTACAGCCCGGTGCACAGTGGAGGAAACAGCTGAGCTGAGCGTACAATACATGCAATACAACAAGTCACTCTTGACTGTTAGCTGAGCTGTTTCCTCAAGTGTGCGCGGTGTTGTATTCTGCTTCTATTTTGTGCACGAGTGAACATTTCCTCACAGTGTGCAAGCTTCCTGAGCTATAAAAATGTTAAAAATTTACCCCAATTCTCAATAGTACATCGACGTGAAAATTTTTACTACAAAATATTTTAAAATGTCAGTGCAGGTATTCGGCACATTGTGGAGATCAGTTGCTCAACACTTGGAAGACAATAATTTTAGTGATGAAAGATTGCAAAAACTGTCGCGTACATGCATTAGTAAAGTTAATTTTACGACCTTTACCTCTTCACTAACCGAAGGAGCAACTAATTTTCTGTATTTTATTCGACTTCAAAACTATAAAATGAAAAAGTGTATTGTTTTACTATTCACTTAATTATACTTTATTTAAACTGCATGCGTATCAACCAATTCACGATCTAATAACGTCATATTTAATTGGAAACCGTATAACAGCTTTCAGGCTGGGCACAGCGGGGCACATACTTTTTAGTTTACCATACCCCGGTAATTTTATTTAAATAGTATCTCTTAACAGATGTCCACCAAAAATAAAATCTTCTCATATGAGTATGTATAGATTAGCCTAATGCAGGCTATTCTCTTAAATCAACTTCTTAAAAAATTCAATAAAATTTTATATATTTTTATGGGGCCAATCTATATGCATAAGATCTTCGTCACATCTTCGTCATTTCCAGAATTTTTATGTGACGAAGGAGATAAAACTACTATAAGTGAAAGGCCAGCACAAGGATTATTCTCTTTAGGAGAAGTTCAGACCCGCAGAGGTCGCAGTGTTAGACTTCTTGCATACTTTAGCGATTTCGTTTGATGTTGCATAAAAACGTAGCTATTAAATTATATAAAAAGTGCACTAGTTCACATGTTTTCAACAGAAATATTAAGCTTTCTTTGTACACTGACGGTAGCGGGGCAGCAACGTTTTTAGTGGACTTCAGAGCGGGGCTTGAGATTTAAATACGACAACTCAAGCGGTTCTTGCATTTTTTTTAACATTTTGAATTGATTTGTTCCGGCCCCACATAAATTTTGCATGTTTCCTAACCAGAAGTCCACGTCGAAGAGTAAAATAAGTTATTAAATAATCTTTATGTGACTAAAAACTGATTTGCGATCATCAGCACTTTAAAGTAACATGTGCAGGAAACTGAAACAATACCCTTATAAGCAATACATGCATGCGTGGGATCATAAATATAATATCCACAAGCATCCATATTTATGTCGAGCGAATACCAAATCATGCTATATTATAGACTGACACTGACTCTTTGAGTTAAATTGAGCAAATCAAATAATCTGTTACAAATACTCGTTCTTATTCAGTGAAACCTTTATTTCTTCGAAAATATAACTCACAACACAATAACAACGTAACAGATTAACATCCATCCATTCCGTAAATAACAAAGCCAATATTATTGAAAGATCTAGACATGCATGCTTCCTGTATTATAGATCATGCCAATGAAAAGTCTAATCTGACTTTGAATGAATAAATTGTACAACATATATAATCAACGTACATGCTGAGGATGACGTAAATGTATGTGATAAGCGAGGGCCTTATAATACTCTTTCACAGCCGGTATATAGTAAATGAATTTCATAGTAATTTAAGAATATTATACTAAGCTTCCCGTTTATTTGACAACTAACAACTCGATTTAATAGTCTCATGCAAGCATATACGTATACATTGAATTACTTACAGATTCAAAATCCTGAACTTGAAAAGACATGAATCCAAAAATAAAAATGACAACGACAAAAGACGACTTTATCAGCTAAGAGTCGGGTAACTCGAGTTAAGCAACCGGTTAATAATCACCGCCTTCATAAATCGTAATTGACCTCTTTGACTTTTGTCTAGATTCTAGAACCTTTTTTGGTCCGGAGTTGTCCCTATTCTCAATAGCCTTGTAAGACATAAACTTGTAAAATATGCACTTGTGTGCACATGTGAACAGAATTACGAACATGCATTCATGGAGATGTAAAGTAATTGAGAAAACATCGCATAAATATTTTACGGTATAATATTTTTTAAACTTTTCAGTATAATTGAACAGAAACGCGTATTGAGAATATTATCGAAAACCGGTCAGACGCAGCTTGACCCTTTGATCCAAGCGTCATCGCTGCTGGACAGTTAAGGCTTACACAGACGGGACGCGATGCGGCAACGCGACGCGAATTCTCAGTTTTCACAAGCATATAAATTAATTTCCGGAAGCAAAACTTGGAATCTATGGACGCCGGAGTAGTCAAAATGTATTATCGTTAAGTAATCTACAAGAATATAACGTTTCAATTTTATCTGCTTTTGGAAAAAGAGAAACTTTTAAAAATCGTGCCGGGTTGGCAAATCGCGTTCGGTCTGTGTGGGCCTTAAAAGCGGATTTCCACTTACAGCGAAATCGTTCGCTAGCGAAATATTTGCATACTTTCTTTTGAATTTTAACAGCATAAATAAATTAGTTCGACTTGACTGTTTCGAATTCAAAAGAAAATATGCAAATATTTCGCTAGCGAACGATTTCGCTGTAAGTGGAAATCCGCCTTAAAAGGATGCAGCACGGCAACATGACGACGACGATGACGCGTCTGAAATACTGCTTTAAATAAATGCTATGGTGAAGAGTCGTACAAATTTAACGAGTCATGAGACGTTGTAAACTTTGAGTTTATATTCTAATTCTGTAGAGCCTAATTCATAAGTCCCATAATGCATGTAGACATTCAACAGGAAGTGAAATTTCAATGACAATGTAGCTCTGCGCTGCAGGTGGTGATCGAAGTAGTATGTTTACTAACGATTAGAACTATAATCTATATACTTTCATTTTCGAAAAACACTTCTTAAAAAGTTCAATGTTAAACTTACGCGAATCTTTTTCGAGTGTTGATGTATCGCAACATTAGTTGAAACTTGAAAACATCAGGAATACGAACATATTCTGAACTCGAGTTGTTTTTTTCGAATGCTATTATTGTGTGGGGTGTAAATGCTGTAATTGTAAGCAAACCTAAAATTTAGGAGCACATAAATTAGCCATGGTTTTTCAGGCGCAAGGCAGTTTTGGAACAGATTTTGGGTTAGATCAAGTCCAAAGTACTAGATTTTGTTCCATCAAAAGAGCTATAATTGAAAATATTTTGCGCAGCTCAGCAGAAATGATCGTTTCTTCAAGACCTTTAACTTCAATTCCATAAAGAAAGACATAAATTCCAAATTATGCTTCGTTTAGCTCCGCGTTCAGTTTATTAGTTTATTTTTAAATTGATTGCTTTTACGGTCTGCTAACATGACAATATGAGTATCCCCCTCCGCCTCCCTAACCCTACGATCTTCCGCGGCCTCTGGCAATATGTCACTCTCAACGTGCTTGCCGGTTTGCTTCATATCTGTAAACCGCGAGCAGCAGTATTGTGGCCAAAAGAAATATTAAGCATAGTTCCCCAGGATTCTATTCTAGGTCCCTTGCTGTTTCTGCCATAATGTTGAATGATCATGATTTGCCAGAGAGTTTAAAGCTGCTTCTCCCATGACAACCAAATTCTGATTTTGAAAATATCAGTAAATGGACTTTATAAGATTTTTTTGCGATATTTGTTTATTTCAATCGCTCAATTGTCCATTGTAGTCGAACGAACGGCGATTGTAAAGACGATTTGATAAACAAATATGGGCGACTGCATGGCCGTTACTATTCAAGTTTATCGCTCCAGGACTGCCGAAACAAGCTGTGCCATATTAATGGCTTTGGAATCAAATACTATTGTTCTACTATTGTTCTATGTATTCTATTTGCATCAATTAATAAACAGTGAATTGTACTTGTGGTATGTTCAAATCACTATCATCCCCGAGCCGGTGCGGAGCACCGTGCGAGGGTACTAATTCCGCCCGGAGATTAGGAATTATACCCGGGACCCGGGAGAACATAGCGGAATCCAAAGTTGCTCAAATGTCATCGACGTTCAATGATCATGGTACTTGTACGCATGCGCGAAATGTGAACGAGTGTAGACTGGTAATCAGCAACTTCTTAATTGGCTAAGACGAAACGTTTGTGTTTCAGTGAAAAACGTCAGCAATTTAAGTATTTAACTGTCATTTTGCTAACTATTTTTTTAAAAAATGTTTCGAAAACAAAATATGAAATGTGGAATCAAATAAAAGATATAGAACACTGGGAAGAGTTTAAAATATTATCAGAACTGGAGGAATTAGCGGTGAAAAGGAACAACTCGATTATAATCCTTGAAATGGTTGGAGTCTATTTTGTTTGAGGTTTATTTCGTGTTTGCTGTACGAATACATTTTATGACCTTGGTACAGAATGTCGTTTTGCTCGGTTTTGCAAAGACGTGACCGACTATTTAAGGCTTTACATCATCGTTTTAACTCCCAAAGGGTCCTTAAAAGTGTAATTCGGAGTTTTAATATAACAAATATCACTTAAAAGGTTTGTATATAGTCGACTGCAATCACTGCATGAATCTAATGATCGAAAAACAACATTCGACGTTCACTGGTTGGTTATTTATATTATTTGGGCTGTTTTGATGTTTTGAAGGTTTAGCTATAATGAAGTATTAACTCTCACTTAAACTGTGAAAGTCTATAACTTAATTCAACGGAAAGCAGCAGGAAAACGGGTGATTTCACTTCACCTTTACGACTGTGTTTGTTTCCAAAATATTTGAAACATCAGCTATTGGCTTTACATTTAGGAATTTACATTTCATAATATTGAAGGTTAGGCCTGGCTAGCTCAGGAAATATTTTGCTTCGTTTGAAATGGCAAGGGGTTTGCTGCATGCATGTATTTTTAGTAACTTACTAAGATTGTTAAATGACGTGGAGGAAAATCTAGGCTCCAGGACAGGACTATAAGATTTTAATCAGGGTGATTATTTGGTATAAGTACTGGTAAACAGGGTGTAACAATGTCATTGTATGCGATTGTTTACAAAGAAATTAAATATTGAATATTAATTTTGAGGTCAGTCAATTCTAAACAGTAAAGTCAGTACTAGTGTAAGCAGTTTGTATGGTATTATCAGCCAGTAAATCAAAGTTATTTATTGTTAACTGATATCCCTGAGATTGAAACATAAATAATTACACCTTTAAGTCGCAATACAGCGATTCAAAGGCTGTTTGCTTACAATTGGTATGAGAACTGTTGCAATTGTAATGCCCTTTCCTCTGGCCGGTTGGTTGTTCAAAAGCCGGTTAACGCAAACCCAGGGTTAAAAATGCTTAACCCAGGGTTAAATTTTAAACCTCAGTTTTGATTTGCGTTGCAGAAAGCCCAGTTAGCGGTAGGGTTATTTAACCCAGGATTAAACCTAGGATTACATGTATTTCGACGACTAAATTGAATATACGAACGCTTTCGTTTGGTCAATAAACGAGCGTCAAAACTTTAACCGAGGAGGGAATATTGTCAATCGAAAAATTATATGTCGTGAGGTCAGTAACGTTGTATTGAACTGGAATTGAAATGCAATTTCCGTGCGTGGAATTTTGGCAAGTTTCAAAACGAAAGACACTAGCTTTTGTATGTTAAACGATATGAAATAAAATTAAGCAAATTATAAACCATCGATTTAAGAATTTCAGGCAATGTTTGAATAATAAATTCAAAAAACGTATTCTTACCACTGCCAATCAATCACACTGAGAATCGAGATTTTGAAGTTTGAAATACAATGATCAGCTAAGATACTTGATCCAATGGCATCTGAAACAAATATTTTCATTACGATGTTTTACTTATTTGTACGGTTGTAAGTATTTATCTTGTATTGCATTGAATCGAAGATAAATAAATCAATACATTAGCTGAAACAGAACGAAGTCAAACTTAAATAATTTTTGCGCATCCTGTCCGAAACTTTTCCTAAAACTTTTTTAAAGTGTTTAATTCATAAAGAATTATACGTGTTCCCGTTCCTTATCATCCATTTGGAATCGAAGTTAACCCATGCAGGATTAAAAAGTTAAACCACCTATAGCTAGCAAGGTTAATTTTTTTATTAATTTTAACTCAGGGTTGAAAACGCTAACCCTACGTGCTTTGAACAACACAGTTTTAACCTACGTTTAACTATAACCTAGAGTTAAGGACCCTAAGCATTGGGTTACTCTGGTTTAATATCAGTGAAAGGAATACAGAAACTTACACATTATTTTGAATTAACTTCAAGATCAAGTGAAGCTGTATTGCCAAGAGGTGTGAAGTGCAATAATTGTCATAATAATTATAGTAAAGTTATATCACAATAAACACAAATTTTTTGCCAAGGCTTAGCTTTATTGCAGCCAGTGCTTTATATAAAATTAGAGGCTACCCACATGTAAGCGTTGCGTACCTACTGCTTAATCATACCATTGTCTGGGGCCTTCGTGGGTTGAGCAAGTCGCAGAAACATTAAAATTAGACAATTGTAATCTGAGATACTTGCACTCTGAGAGAGATTTAGTCTGAGATACTCATATGGGCTGTATTGCCAGACTGTAATCAGATACAGCTGTTGTTTTTGCCGATCTTAGAAATGCCTACCATATATAGTTACTACTTTAGCACAAAATATTCTAGCCAAACCAAAAATATAGTAGGGAAATTAGACATGGCGAAGTTTTTCTTATAGAAAAAGAAGAACGAAAAAAAAAATTTGTTATGTCCAGAATTTAAAATTTACTAATGCGCTAAAAATTACATATGCATGTTGACGCAGAGGTAAAGTACTAAATTTGCGGGACACCTTTCTCGCTAGACTGCATAAGGATACCAATATTGAAAGCAAATCCAAGATTTCGGTAACAGTTGTAGCTATAATAGTCCCCGAGCCGGGCGAGGGTACTAATTCCGCCCGAAGATTATAATTACGCCTGCGAAATAAAAGTTGTCCGCCATTATG